CCCTCTTCCGTCAGCTCTACGCTCGTAACTCTGGAATGCGGAGGTCCTGTTGACAATGCCTTCTTGCTGCCCAACGAGAAAGAAAAGAAAATCGGATTTCAGGATCCTCGCTTTGGTTGAATCTCAATTGCTCTTACAATCTGGTCAAGCCCGTCTCTGAACCTTGCGCTACTCCTTTGACGTTCCCATGCTGATGAAAAGGGAGGTCTCATTGAGTACGCAGAGAATTGCCAGGTTTGGAGGGCGTACGGTATCATTCATGATCCATCCCACGACGCCGACATCGTGGGCTATGTCTTTGGCAAACGCTCTGAAGTATACCCCTTGGACTTTGCCACGAACAAGGAAGTGGAATGTGCGGTAGGACATGGTGGAAGAACGTTATTATCGTTCATGCGCACATGAGCGAAATTGGAACCACGTTTAAACCTCAAGCTTCCGCAGAAGTTATGCTGACATCATTCGTCTAAGCGATATTCTCCGGCTCAGACTACGAATATATACGGTATCCATCCGGGCTCATACTTTCCTTAAAAGCCATGCTTAGATCGAATTCCGGCAGATGAGGTCTCTATACCAATGGTCCTGGGTATCCTAAACTGTCTCTGCACCTTGTTTTGCAAGAGCCCTCCATGCATCTAACATCGCCACAATTGCGGAGACCCGAGCATCATCCGTATTCTCGTGCTCCGCATCAGCCTCAGCCATCGCGGTATCGATCGTCTCTGTCCACCGTTTGCCCATATGTTCCCAAGTAGCCTGTATCTCCTCGTCCGAATACAAGCGCAGCTGGCGGCACTCCGGCACTTGAATGACGTCCGCGCCTGCGGCTGACACTACCATTCGTGTGGGGACTTCACCTGCAGAGAGAATGAAAATTGGGACCGAGAATCATCGCAACTTACTTACCGTACGTAGCATCCAGCGTCAACTTCTTTCGGCTCTTCATGATCTCCTTCCGCGTCCTTGTCTTCGCGGTCAGAAGGAGGTATGTGAGCGACCCCACCACCTCTGCGGCCGCAGAGCGCACAACGTGCGGCGCATTCTCTTCGCTAAACGTCGCTAGCTCCATCACCCGCTGGACGAATTCGGTCGTGTACATCCGCCCAAAGTGTGTCGCCGTCATGCCCTCCGGGCACAGCTTCTCCACATCTACTGCAAGCACTACTGGCGCGCTCATATCCGGCGGCGGTAATTTAATGACCCGCGCCCTGACGTCCTTCTCCTTCACCTTGTATGCCGCAGCTAACCTCGTGCGTGCGCGTTTGGTGAATTCTTCTTTCAGCCACTGCTGCGTCTGCACCGTATTCCAAGTTCGTGGGTCAGTCGGGTCGTACGGCGCGGGACCTTTGGCTTTCGGAGGAGAGGTCTTGAACGGGGAGGCGTACGAGAGCGTGTTGACACTGTGCGTACAATCCTGAATGTGGGGCGAAACATGCGCGATGATCAGCGTCTTGGATGTTTGCCTTGACTCCGGGTCAAATATTGACTGTTCTTCCCCGTATGCATCAATACCCGTATGCATTATGACGACCTCGCATATACCTTAAGAAGTATGGTCAACTTGTTCATACGCCATGGAATATGCACGAAGCCGTCCTCGTTGGCCATCTTTGCCTTCGCACGCACGCAGTCCTTCAGATTCATAAGGCTTGTGTTGTTCTCCTTGGACTCTGTCATTCGCTGCTTGTCATGTCTTTTCGAGTCCTCATAGCGTTCACTCCCGGCCAGACTGTCAGATGACTGTTACATGTCATACCATGAAATCTTTGTATCTAGACGCACTCTACGAGGATCAGCTGTCCATCATCTGCGTATGGCAGTAGCTTGTTCTTGATCCTGATGGTCAAAATAGCATGACTACGGCTGGATCTTGCGTTGCGCGCGGTCGCAGAGGTACGTCTATGGCGATGGTATGGGTATCACTAACAAATCATGCATAGCAAAGGACGCACCGATGAGAAAGGGCCGTTGCGATAAGTCCCCCGAGTTCATCCGACGATCGGAATACCGTTGAAACCAACTTAGGGCGTACTTCGCCCGCCTAGGTTCTAGATGAGCGGAATATGCATGTCATCTACATGCAAATACCTTGTTCTCCTGAACCACAACCTCGGTGCGGATTGGGTGACCTTGTGAATCAACAGACAGGCCATCCACAGACTCCAGCAGATCTACCGCACGTTTCCCAAGTAGCTCTAGGAACGTCGCACTGAACTCGAAGATATCGCCTTCCGCTTCGTCTAGGGGGGCATCACTCTGAGCTGCATCTCTTCGCTCCGCATCGCGAAGGCGCTGCGCCATGACTTTCGATACTGTGAACAGATCTCGCGCAACTCGTTGCTCGAGCGCTTCGATTGTGAACGTTTTTCCTGAGCCTGTTTGGCCATAGGCGAGAATGCACGCTATACCACCGGAGAGTGCAAGAGTGAGAAACTAATCGAAGTCAACCAACATGGGAGAAAGGCGAAGGGATGAAAGTCTTACCTCATGAGCGACCACCGTACGTTGATAGACCTCTTCGTTTTCCACGTCGGGGCCAAATGCAATGTCGGAGGAGAACCTTTTGTGAGTCAATGTGGGGCCGTTCCACTGTGAGAACAGTAGAAATGAGCCCCGAACAGAATCAGTAGTGTGTTAGGCAAGTGCTTTCACCTTCCATCCTGGTACGTGCGCAACGAACTCCCCAGGCTCTGCAGCGGTGACACTAATGCCTGCACAAAACGCTGGCTGTCCTTCGGCGACATCAGTCGGTTTCAAATCTTCCTCTTCCTGGTCAGCCGATTCTGGAGCATTTTCTCCTAAATCACGCTCGAACACAGAGAATTTGGTTTCTGCTTCATTCTCCAGAGGGGGGCGGGTCCGAAACGCGACGATGACATTCTTACCCACCGTAGTGTCTAGGGTGTTGCTGACACTTGACACTGGCAGGGAAGTGGTGAAGCTGGCCTGTGATGGTTGCTTCTGCCTCCAATCCGCAAGCTCAGCTCTCAGTTGCGGGAGGTGAGTGGTAGTCAGCGCAGCAGATGAAGCCATGAGAGTAAGACAGCGGTAGGTAGTTCAACCCGGGAACTGCGTGGTTTTATGATAAGGGCGCCCAATATAACAATGCTGCTTCGGGTGTGGGGCACAATGCTCACCGATGACAAACTCAACAACCTCTTGACAGATTGGTAGCCGAAAACGCTGAGAACTAGCAAAATCCATCAAACATATCGGCGCCGACGTCCTCTATGTTCTTGCAGTACGATGCCGCCAGAAGAGAACAACGGATCAATCAAATTGAGTCAGCCAATCCAGCTTGAGACTCCGGAACAACTTCTGATAACGAAATTCGAATTGATGAGCTACAGTCGGCTGCTATTTAGTACCCCAAGCTTCAAGCATTGCGTCCGCGATTCGCCAGAGGTGAGTCAAAGCGGCAGCGCTGTATACAGGAAGAGTCACATTGGCTTATCTGACCATCGGGGCCGCAAACATTGACGCTACACTCGAAGGACATAGCCTGAGTAGTTCTCGATCCATGTAGCCTGAGAGAGCGTCTTTCAAAGTCCCACAGAATATCGGTGTTCGAAAGGACTAGTATCTTCGCTTTACTGAGACGTTTCCAGCTCAAAAAACTTGCTAGCTATTCTAGGTCGCGCAGTGATCATGAGGGCGAAGCCAAGAAGTGACATCGATTTATTGGAGTCGAGTCAGTTTCGGGTGACAACTTATCAGAGCCCGTACAATTGTTTACCTAGACGAAATGCCAACAATGCTATCATTACGGGAAAATTAATAAATTAATAAATTGTTTACATTTCAGTATTATTACTGACTTTAGCTTGCAGTGTGAGCTCATCTGTCCCACAAGTTGCTACTCGTCACTACTAGTGACTCGGTGCGCTCGGTTTACAGGACGATGGTCGCGAACGACTGATCATAACTCCGTAAGTTCAATTCAGAAAGCTCGTCGACAACGCAATTTTCTCAATGGATGCATTGGCATTTGACTCGGGATCACTTTTCCCCCTACCAGTAGCTGTCCCGCTGACGAGCTTGTAAATTGTAGTATAGACAGGGAATCGCCATTTGATAGACGGTCAAAAAGCTCAGGAATAGCTCTAGGAAATTTGACTGGTGCCGTATCTCTCCGGGGACGCTACTATGTGAGTAGGGGAGATGGCGTCTGGAATTAATGTGGGAGATTGGCGTGCAATACTCGTCCTAGTGTTTTTCTTATTCTCCAGTGAGTGACAGTGTTCGAAAATGTTACTGTGAAAATTTATTGCCTGCAGATGCGGCGGTTATCTTCCCGGTTCGCATTCCGGTTCCACATACAATTCTAAGTAAGGCCCGAGCCGCCCTCGTAGCTCTTGGGATCGTTACCCCTCGAACTGAACCTCTGAAGAGAGCTTTCTTTCCGCTGAACTTTATCTCTGCACCACTGCTTTCTGTCCTCGTTTTACTGGCTTCTGGTGCTATCAATGGAGCTGTCGTACGCGACGGAATCGTCGGCGCCAATGGTGTCAAGCCACTCGATATCATGGCTTTGTTCATTTCTCTAGTATCTGCACTTGTTCTCTTATACACCAGGCTGTGTACTTATATCAGAATTTATCAGGCATACTTGTCCATATCACTGGATGCTACAGGTCTCCTGCGCTTTCTGGCCTTCTGGGTTGTTCAGAAGGGGGGTTCCTCCGGGCGCAAACTGTTTACATCCCTCTACGCTTTCTTTCTGGTCTGCGGTGTCATCGTTGGAAATGTACGTGATACAGAAGCATGAGTATGTAAGGCTTCATTCATTTGAATTATTAAAAGGACCCAGTTATTCTTTCTGGCACGGCATTCTTGGCTTATCTCACCAGGGTGTCTGGGTAACGCTTCCTTTTTCTCTCCCTTTCAGATGCGTTCTGACACGAGATGTGTAGGATTGTCAACCCAACCGCATGGATATTTTCCCAATTTGCGGCAGCCAATATGGGTATGTCCGCGTGTAACCCCTCATACTGCCGATTTTTCATGTCCCACCTACGCAGCATCAGTAGTTTTAGTATCTTCGAACCCCACAAATTTAGTATTATCGGGTGCATTTTCGCTCTCCTTCACCACTTACACGGCCCACTGCATTCTCCCGTTTCTCGGTGCCGCCATCAGCGTTTATCCCATACTCATTCTGGGGCTTTTCCGTTCTCGCGACCTGATTCCCCGCTCAATCAACTTGGATCCGACGGTAGTCGACGACATGGGAGATACTCTCGTCGACAAGAAGGGAGCCATTTTCGGTAGTGCTCTCCTTCTTGTCACGTTAAGCGTGCTTGTAGGCACAAGCACCATCGGCGTTCCTGTCTGGGAAGTCACTGTCCCGCCTGCGGTTGTCATGCTCTTGCGCGATACCCACCACGATTGGGCGAGGAGAAGCCGGATTTTGCGTAATGGAGTTCAGACGCCACAAGCTGTACATGGAGGAACTGATAGAACGAAATTTGATGGTCCGGTGATACTACGAGGGGAAATCGAGGTAGAGAATCTTTCTGTTCCGTTTGTTTCGCGATCATATTCAGTCCAGGAGGAGCAAGGGAGAGCACCGATGACACTGTCTACAATTGCAACGAAATACACTCATCGCTTCTCGACAACGTTCCCTACCGTCACGGCTGTTGCACGAAGACTTCCAATCTCACTATTGCCTTTTGCTTTTCTCATGTTCATCCTCGTGCAGGGCTTATCGACACAAGGATGGGTGGAGGTTTTAGCGCAGTGGTGGGCTGCATGGGTTGACAAAATTGGTGTCCTAGGTGCGATTGGTGGTATGGGTTTCATCGCGTGTATATTCTGCAATGTATGTTGCGATCTCCTCTATATATTTTTGTCTAATCTGGCCATACAGGTTTGCGGCACCAACATCGGTGCTACTATTCTCCTTGCGCGGGTTATACAGGTGTGGATCTCAGGCGGTACAGGCGAATCACTTAATCCTCGTTCGAGAGAGGGTGCCATCTATGCCCTCGCGCTAGGATCAAACTATGGGGCTATCACGCTCACATTCTCAGCCTCTCTCGCAGGGCTTCTTTGGCGTCGTATCCTGCAACAAAAGGGCATTCACGTCCGGCCAATGCAATTCCTCAGAATCAATTTCTTAATCGCACTCACTGCAATGCTCGTATCCTCTGCAGTCCTCGTAGGCCAGGTGTACGTTATATATAGAAACAATTAACTCAACGTGCTCTCGATACAACAATGATGCACAAAATACAACAAAGACGGGATTAGTAGAAATATATATACTTCAAATGCGCCAATCGGCGAAGAAATCCATGTCGGACCGCACGACCGCCAGCATATAATCGACGGTTGTTCCCCCTTCCTCGGCCTCATCATCCTCGTCGTCCAACGCTTGTGGCTCATCTATCTCATCTGGAGCTACGTCGGCTCCTGGGGATTGTGGAAGTTGTGCGGCGGATTTCGACTCAATATTGTGTGTTCGTCCTCCACTGCCCTCTAAGCTGAAGTCAGCTTCATCTGCACCGACCATAGCAACTTCTTCACTGGCAGCAACGGCAGCCGCATGGGCGTCCTCTGCATCTTCATATTCACCCAACGCTTTTGTCAGCGCAGACTCGTCGGAGAACAGCGATCGCCAATCAAATTCGCCTTTCTGAATGACGATATCGTCCAACGATCGTTTCTGATTTGCTTTTCGCAACAATGCCTCTTCCACCGTGTGTCGTGAGATAAAACGATAAATATGCACGTCGCGTATTTGTCCAATGCGATGCGCCCTGGACAGTCAATCTTGTTAGCTTGTGTCTGGCGTTTGTATGCTCGCACATACCTATCCTCGCACTGTCGATCCATCTGTGGATTGAAATCACTGTCATAAAATATGACAGTATCCGCTCCTGTGAGACTGTAATTGATGTTAGACAAACAGCAGTCTGCAATCGCACGAGCAACGTACTTTATACCGACACCACCTGACCGTGAAGATGAGATAAAACAGAATACTCTGGGATCGGAATTGAAACGCTCCGTAATGTACTGTCTATCTTCGATTTTGGTTGCGCCGTCCAAGCGTAGGTATAGATATCCATGGAAGTTTAGGAATATTTCCAAAATATCAAGGATTCTAGTCATTTGTGTGAAGATCAATATACGATGTCCTCCAGCCTTGCGTTCCCGCAATAACCGTGAAAGCTCCTGAAGCTTGCCACAGTCAAATTGTAGCAAGGAAGGATCCGGAAAAGCAATCTGAAGCTTCACGCTGACACGATGCAATAGTACATCGGAACCGGTTTCGCTAAGTAATTGAAGTATAGCTGCCGGCACTCCCGCTAATGCAATTTCGGGCATGTCCCGAGCGACAACATTGGGTGTAACGAATGCAAAACGGTCGACAAGGTCGGCAATGTCTTCAGCTCTCGAGGAGTAGGACTTGATTGCAGAATGAACCCTTGTCACGGTGTTCCAAGATTGCAAGGAAAGGTTTGCTAATGGTATAAGGGGCACATAAAGACGCTGCGCGACAGCAATCGTCTCCCGACTATACACAGGAAAACGTGCACAGCGCAACCTGTTCAGATAGCCTATTTGAGCCCATCTTGCAATGCGCGCCGCTCGCAGCTGCCACTGCCGATAGCGTTTGTAGCCCTCAACGCTGCGAGTGTCGTACGGAGGTGGCTCCCCAGGTAGCTCGGTTATCATTGGGAGGTGTGCTGTACCATCCAGGCGAATGATCTCAGAGGCAGCAATACGAGACGTATTCTGCCAGTGCACAAACTGTAAACCCAAGACGTCGAGATCCAGACTATCCTCATCACTAGAGTGTAGCAGACGCCGTCGAATCAGAAGTTCCTTAATTTCGTAATCCGCAATGGCCGAACGATCCATTGCGAAGGACGTTACAATAGGACGAACTTCGAATAGGTCTGGATGATTGACCACCTTGCGCAATTGCATGAGAATGTTTGCGATCTTCTGGTAGACGCCTGATTGCAAGTCATGTCTAGTTTCCGCGCGAGCCATGAATTCATCGTACAGAAAACGCTGTCGCTTTGACAGAGCACACATGACGAGGTGCTCATACTTCTGCGGAAGCTCTTTTTCTACATCTCTTTTCAATCGGCGCAGAAGATAGGGCCGGAGGACAGTGTGTAGCTTCGTGACCCTTTGTTGCGTCTCGTCGTCCATGGTGCCCATTTCGATCGCTTTCTCAAGAGGGTCTGTATAGGCGAGTTGATGAGCGTTCGTTTCACGAGACAATTTGGCCACGTACTTGAGAACCATTCTCCAAACTCCTTCAGATTGGCAAAGTTGGTACCCGACATGAGGAACTGTAATAATGCCCAAAGTTCGGTAAGATTGTTCTGAAGGGGGGTCCCGGTCAGGAGCAGACGACGAAACGAGCGAAACATGAGAAGGATGTTCCACCGCTGGGACTTAAAATTCTTGATCATATGCGCCTCATCCAGAATCATGTAATACCATGGTTTCCGTTTGAAGACATGGGCATCTCGGCTAGCGAGTGTGTATGACGTGACACACACGTTAAAATGATACTTGTTGTTCCAACCCTGTCGCAGCTCCTTCCGACGCTTCGTGGTTCCATGATAGCTCAAGACCTTGAAACCTGGCAAGAACTTCTTGAACTCCATCTCCCAGTTCAACAGCACACTCGTAGGAACGATGATGAGATGCGGACCCCAGATACCACGATCACAAGCGAGGTGGGCAAGTAGAGCAATTGTCTGTATCGTTTTTCTAAAAATGTGTCAGGAATCAATGTCGTACGGTTTATGATCAGGATTATCTACTCACCCAAGGCCCATCTCATCGGCCAGAATGCCATTGAGATTATTCGCATGTAAACTGGCCAACCACTCAAGCCCAGCATTCTGATAAGGCCTGAGGCTCCCGCGTAAAAGAAATGGCGGCTGCATTGCGGATTGAGGATCCCATTCCACGGGTGCAACGGCATAAGGGCGAAGATATGGAGGTATTGAAACATTCTCTTCCACGTCATCTTCCTGCAGATCTCCCTGAGGACCGGATACTTGATCATACTGGTCCTCATCTAACGAATCTTTGACTTCTGCACTAGATGTGTTCTCTTCGACCACGCTAGGGAATAGAACAGACGTAATAGGCTCTGCAGCGATCGCGCGCTGTGGCTCATACTCTCGCTCTGAAACAGCCTCCGAAACCGCTAGAGACAGCCTGGGGGATTCCGGGTATTCTAACTCTAGGAAATTGTCGGTAAGCATCTCTTCAGGTGTCCCACTCGACATCAATCGATACGCGGAAGAGCTGTTTCGTATAGGATCGAGATTGATCGAACTCCTAGACGTAGGCATTAAGCCAGAGGTATCGGCAATAATATCTTGCATCGCGTTTTCGGAAGGATTACGGGATGCGACTGTTGGCGAATAAAGCTTCATGAATGATTGTTGCTCGGAATAAGTCGATGGACTCGAAGGATACTCTAGTTGATCAATGTCCGCTTGTGAAACATCATTCTCCATGTCGAGATTATCTGCAGCATCCTGGAAGTGGGAAACAGATGAGCTGTGATTGGAGACATCCGTCAGCGATCTCGACCTCGACCAGCGACGAGGGCTTTGAGCGACCACATTGCCCAACAGAAAGCTCGAATCGACGCCAGCGTCATCATCTTGAGACTCGGAGCTGCTTCTCGCGTGTTGAGAGTAGATAGCGCTTCCATCGTCATCCTGTCCAGATAAATCGTCATCGTCATCTTCATCTGGATCGGAGGAGACTGGAGCTGAATGCTTGAGAGTAGCTGGGATGTCGCTAGACCTGCTACGAGCACGAGGTGCAGCTTTACTCAGGTCGAGCTGCTGTGCTTCCAGAATTTGACCGGACTGATCAAGGATGGCATCCAAATGCTCATGTCCGCGCCTCCGCTCTTCTTCTTCGCGCTTCAGTCGCTCTTCCTCTCGGATATGCTATACATAAGGAACTATTAGAGATGCACCATGATAGCAAGAGCAATACTCGCATGGACAGCTTTCTTCCACTCCGCAACAACCATCCTCACTGTTGCCTTTGCCAAAGCTCGCAGGCGCTTCTCTTCCTGTAGCTTTACCTTGTCCTCCTTCAGCGCACGGGTATCCCAATACGCGCGTACCCTACTTGCAACCTGCGCCGCCACCTGGCGACCATTTATAGAGCGATGTTGTGCTCGCGCCTTCACCGCATCTACAACATGAGCCCAGACATCTCGACTTGGTTGTCCGGCCGATGCATCATGGTTGCCTGAGACAAGCAACATATCTTCGCCCGCATATATACGTCCAGGAAAAAAGCGACCTTGCCTGCGCAACGTGTCCACGCGATCCCATAGCGCAGCATCTTTTTTCACAAGCTGCTTTATGCCCGCCTCGTCGACATCCTGGTCGCTCAATATCGTGTACGATGACAGCAATGATGTTAACGATTGGCCATGCCGCGGAGGCGGTGGCTTCTGACGGGGATTTGTGTACACAGGCTCGGGGGCGCGGACAATCAACTTTATGCGTTTGAGGGCCGATTTGTGTGGAGACAAGTCCGTTGTAAGACCGTGCGCTCGCGGGGTCGCAAATCCATCGAGGTTCAATGACATCCGTTTTCGCGCCGGTGTACGCCCAGTAAGTACGGCGGAAATGGAATTAGACGGTTGCGCCTGGGATGGAGGGAAGGTTCCTGATGAAAGATCTGAACTTACTGCAGCCACTCGCCGCTTTTTTGGAGGCGGAGGCGGATGCGCACAAGAGACTGCAATATCTTCACCCATACGTTTCTTCTGCCGACGTAATGGCGAATGCGTATCAGACGTCACATCTTCACGCTGTATCTTGGTCTTGCCCTTTCGACTAATGTTTAACGTCGAGGGAACGTGTACTACCTCTTCTTGTTGCAGCCTGCCTTTGCCTTTGCGATTCATCCCAAGGCTCGGTGCAACGTCAGAAAAGGCAATATGTTTGCCTTTATCTGCGGCGTTGGATGGAACGGTCATGGGGAGACCAGTAACTCGCTTTCCTCGCCCAGCCAATACCCTAAAACCTTTGGCCTCTGGCGAAACTATCAGAGGGCCATTCACAGTCTCTGGTTGCGGTCCTGCCTTCTTCCGCAGTGTAGAGGGTATACTTTGGCTTGTCGTTATAGCAGAGATTGACATAGAAGACGTCGATATATCCACTTGAGAGTCGGCCTTCTTGCCTCGCTTAGCCTTCGGTGAAGCTACCGATAGGTTGTCCGATGAACCCTTGAGAATGTGTAACCTCTCGGTATGTGCTCGGCGTGTTTGTCGAGAAGGTCCAGCGGTGGAAGCGTTATTCACGAGATCGAAACGCGCGTGGTACTTTGGGCAACTTTGAGTAACAAAGAACGGTACGGTGGAGGAGATTTACCTCTTGGAACACAGTCGACGTATCAGACTTTGCGACCTGGGTATATCATCAAACATCGCATTGAAAATGCTCACGACGTAGCACGCACCTTGGGGTCATATGATAGCAACGTTACAAACTTCTCCAGATGGAAGGCTTCCCGAACCTAAGAAACGGTCAGCAAGAAGCGAACAAATCATTCACATCATCCTAGAAAATGCGATGGAGAGCTGGCCAGAAAAAAAATTCACCCCCAATCACTATGCAAGAATAAATACGCACAAGAGTGTCGTGAGTGTCAAACACGCCCTCGAGTTCCGCCTGCCGCTGCTGCACCCAAACCGTACGCTCGTGTTCAATGCGCTCGTCGCTCATTCTTGAGCTCTCTGGCTCCGTAGTTATCCTGCCCTTCTTCCTGCCATCTCGCTTTGAGAGAGATCCGTCACCATTGCTCATAATGTTTGATCGCGCTTTTGGATTCATTGTGAGCCGTCATACAAGCGCGCGTAGGATCGGATTCGTGTGGCCGTTCTCAACATGTACGACACGGTTCGACGAGATTTTTGGACGGAGCCGTAGCTAAGGCAGTTACAGTGCAGGGAGTATAGCTTTGAGAATGGTTGCGGCCATATGTCGTCGGCGTGCGTGATAGAGAGGGGCATTTTGCGAATACGGGGTGAGATTGTTTGGTCGGAGTGACAAATGATGGATTTCGTAACCAGAAAGCAATTAAATTAAATTGCTTGTAAGTTACCTCGTTTCATTATTGATAGCTTACTTTATAGCGGTATTTACATTAGAGATCTACTCCACCTTAGTGCCCAAATCTGTCTGCCGGCTCCTCAAGTTACGTCTACGGTGATAAACTTGAAGTAAGTGTCCTCTCTCTGCTGCTAGGGATGATATATCTCTTTGTATGGTGGTCGTTCGACTCGCTTTAGCGGTTATGCTAGCAGCATCATTCCTGAGGCTGAGCGCTCGACTCAAGCCGTTGATGCGGTCTGCCATCAAGTTGCCGTCGGGCTCGGAGAACTGGCATTGCTGGTAAGGAGATCATCATAACCTTGTGGACGTCAAATCCCACTAGAAAAGAAATATTCGATACGCTATAGAGCAGATGCGATTAATTCTACCTATCGCATAATTTATGACATGAGTTTCCTGGCCTGCTACGTATCCTTAATCATCGTCTGAAGCTTGTCCTTCATTTGCTGCTTTCCAGAGCACATACATTTTGATGTTGAACCATACATGAACAGGCGCTACCTGTTCCTACCTGGTTATAATATGTACCGACAAAGGTGTTCGAGAAGTCTACTATTAGGCGACAATCTAAAATGGATGTCACCATTTGCCGTCCTTACTCAATCACAGGTGCCATTGTGGCCTCATGCGAGGTGGGAGAGGCAGTAAGATCTCGAAACATTGGACAAATGTTGGACGAATGGGCCTCTATCGTTGAGCTCGCTATCAAGTAACAGCTCAGGACTATCCAGGCACTTATCACGGTGCATTTTCCCAAATCTGCTTCTTTCTACAAAATTACCATCTGCGAGAACGGCTGTTCACCACACATATTGAAATCTACTGCAGTGTTACCTATCGATCGCCAGTCTAGAATTGATAACGTGTTGGATATTCATACTAGTACAATTATAGCTTGGAAAAAAAGACGACAAGCAACTCAGCGTACTGCTCCGAGACTGTTGAACTAGCGTCTTGTCTGTGTTTCAACAATCTTCTGAAAGCTTTTCGGGTCGCCATTGCGTAGCTAGTGCCCAGCACATCTTTACAGATTCCGGAAGGATCACGCTGTATTAATTGTCAGCACTCTCCAGCGTGATTTGATGCCTTAGGCATGAGCCAACGCGAGATGCACCGGTACCAAGTACGGTCAGTAATGTTTAATAGCTTAATTCCGAGTAAAATTGCGTGCCGAATCCGAAGCTACTAGTCTGATATATATTCAGCAACATGATCATGGTTGAATGAAGTTTTCCCGTACATATCGCGATATTGGGGGATCGATTCAAACGTGGCCCTCGAAGTTCTCATCTCTACGCGGCCAACGGGTCTGGAGTGACAAGCTTTCAAAATACAGGTCTGCAGATGAAGTACCTGCAAATGCGACCGAGGCCGCATAGAACGTGCTTCGGTGGCGCGCCGTCGCTCGAAGTCACCCGCGGCAATCCTGCTAGTGAAGTGACGGGCGCGCGCCGCGCAAGCCACCGAAGGCTAAAGCAACTTGGTACTGAACCTCCACTCGCTCTGGGACGCCAGTCTACATTGAGGACACGTTTACATTGTGCAAGCCATGTCTGTCGCACATGGAATTCGCAAAGTCGCAGTGTTGGGCGCGGGCCAGATGGGTGTGTATACACGCCACAGAACCTCTCACCATGACGTTGACCTGCCCCCTCCAGGTCTTGGTATCGCATTTGTATCCGCGGTGCATGCGCGTGTACCAGTCTTGCTATATGACCGTTCGAACGCGCAAATACAGAGTGGTATGAAGCTTATGGACAAGATTTTGGAGAAGGACGTTGCTAAAGGCAAGATCACCTCTGAGCACGCCAAGGAGGCCCGCGACCTTGTTTCAATTGTTGATGCTGAGCAGGGAATCAGAGGCATAAGAGATGTTGACATGGTCATCGAGGTGAGTATCGAGTACTGCCCAGTGCTTACATGGTCAGGTCTCGAAGACGTCTCCATATAGTGTAGAGCACAACATATAATTGTCTGATTTCTTTATGACGGAAAGGCAAGGAAAGGCACCGGAAAGGTGCTTTCCTAATGCCGTAAGCCTTTCCTCCCGTGCAAAATGCGCCTTCCCCCACCGGAGAAATAGTCAATCCTTTGTCGTGGAGAACTTCTGAAGTCCTCCAATATGCGTCATTTGCGCACAAGTCAATTAGGGCTACGTCTTCGATATGTCCGTACGAGAACTGCTGACATAATTTGTCAGGCTGTTTCGGAAAATCTAGCTCTTAAACAGTCACTCTTCCGAAGTCTTGCTGAGGAATTATCGCCTGGCGCCATTCTGGCTTCTAACACATCATCAATCAGTGTCACCAAGATCGCAGCTGCTACAATTCCAGAGGGAAAATCAGCTGCGGATGAGCAAGCATTGAAGAACGCTTCCCGGGTGGTTGGTCAGTCCCCTATACGCGCTGTGTTGTCCACATTGTCTTTTGTAACATCTGTCTCATCCTAGGTCTCCACTTCTTCAATCCTGTGCCAGTAATGGTGTGTTTGTCACACTTCTACCTCTGACGGAACAAACTGTCTGTCTGATGAACGTTGGTGTTAAGAAACTCGTTGAGCTCATTTCGGCGCTCCAAACTTCGAAAGACACCCTTGATCGCTCCCGTGCATTTGCTGTTGCATGTGGAAAAGGTATAGATACATCGCAATGCAAATTTTCAATCAGCTTTGTGAAGCTGAAGCATCATGTCAGAGGTAACGACAGCACAGGATGTGCCAGGATTCGTGTCTAACGCGCTTCTCATGCCTTTTATCAACGAGGTGCGTGTATATGTTGTCAGAATTGATGATCTGCTCCTCACGGTCATCATCATATGCCGCTGCATGGGCATTGGGCACGCTTTTGACACTGGGCAGGCCATCATGAGCTTAGAAAGGGTATGCCAGTTTACAATCCTGTAATTGCAGTGGCGCCTACTGAACATTATAGGGGGTTGCAACGCGAGATGATATTGACAAAACGCTGAAACTCGGCATGAATCATCCAATGGGCCCGCTGCAATTAGGTCAGTATCCATCTGAATTAGTTTTCCTACCCGTTTCCCCCTGCGCGTGTTGACTCGTGATCTCTTCACAGCTGATTTGTGAGTGTGTCTTGCATCGCATGCTGCGCGCTTCTCATCGCTTCTCTACGCCCACCTCGCGCACATTTGCTGCTGCAATATATGATCCATCGCGCTTGTAGTATCGGCTTGGACACATGTCTAGCGATTCAACGAACCTTGTATGAGGGTACATCCGATTCCAAGTACCGTCCCAGCATTCTGTTGGAGCGCATGGTAGACGCAGGCTGGTATGGGAAGAAGAGCGGGAAAGGATTTTATGAATATTCACAGTGAAGGTTGGGTTGGATCCCGATCGAACCTGGGGCAGGTCCAGGCTGCGCCGACCGGTAAGCACCGTTCAACGGAGCAGGCATCAACTTACTCCGCGGTGCGCCAGCCACGCTGATTTCTGTATGTAGTAGTCACGTTTACTGGGCTGATTTTTGATGGTCGCCCGCGAGGCGCGTGCCGTCGGCGATGCAGATGCAGAATATGTTCGTCTATCAAGGCTGCAGAATTGCCTCACCCCCCATCGGACTACCGCGTGTATCAGTACGTGTGCAAATGGTGTGACCTTTCTCTTCCTTGCCTCAGCCATACTTCCGTGGCCGTGGCCTCAAAATCGTTGAGAGCGTTCCGCTGGCGGAGTATACGTTGTATCAAATTGTTCATGGAACAGCCGGTGATCGTAACCTTGTTCAGGCCCATAGTCTTCGTCCGCTCACCTCCGGGGATCCGAATAGGTCCTCGCATTTTGGTCTTGTGTCCGTGACACTCATGCTGGTGGCAGTGGTCATGCATGGTTTGATGGTCAGCTGATTTGCGCTCTATACATCCATAGTTGAGTCGCTACACGTTCAGTAACAGAACCCCCGCGCCCTTATCCAGATGGCGTGTCCAAGCGCTCATCCCGTTTGTCCGATTATGGCAGGTTTGAAAGAACACTCGGGCGCTCCATCTTCGTTGAAGTGGGTAGGAACGCGGAACGCCTGCGACCCGAAGCCTGAGGGACAGTCGGTGAATGTGCTGTCAAACGCAAAAGTGTGAAGTCGGAGTAAGTTGGGCGACACAAGCTCCGATGCTTCGTGCCTGACATCTGCCCCGAAATCGCTTGAGTATGTGGAGTGTTTCTTCTGCTTCTGAGATATGTTTGGTGGATAATCCTACATTGGTGTATGGAAGCTCATCACCGCCATAGTCAATGTGTCTATGGTCGATCGTGTGGTAGGCCGTCCGAATGGCTTCTTGCAGTGCCGCTTCGGCGCACCATATACTGCGTGTTCTGATGTGGGGCACTCCGTCCCCAGATCAACTTCCTTCCCACAAACACAGCGGACTTCCGATATCGCACGGCGTGAGGTCTCGTGTCTGTCAAGCGCCTCGAGGCGACGGACGTTTTGATCGTGCGGTTCATTAACCGTTGTGGCCACTCTGCCACATTCCATGGTTCAATGTATATAACACTACGCTTAGCGGAGCAAGCGTTATCCAACCCCTGGTGTCGATTTCCTTCAACCACTCCCAACCCGTCCCCTCCGCCACGAACAAGTTCTACTTCCATTAACACGATGTGTTCAATCGAATGGTGAGTGCAATGCGGCCTGTCAACCTAATTCTCCGAGATCGGCTAAGCATACTGCAATTTCTTCGATCTAGCGTTGGAGACCAGTACCGCGGATGCCAGGTATATTGTTACCAGAAGAGCCGCGCAGTAAAAACTCACTTATACCCACTAGCATTATGTCAAGGTATACGAAACCGGAGTCAAGAGAGATTGTGGTTCCCATCATTGTGCTCTTAGCAGCGCACACAAGCACACGGCCAGAAATTGTGGCTGCCCTAAAGTATGTATTACGGTATGCACGGTGATAGGCCTACTCATTGGCTCTCTTCAGGCATATTCAGAATATCAAAAGGTGCAAAACCTCATTCGCGGCAAGTGCAAATCATGTGAAACATGGGCTTGGAATCAACTCGAACGAGAATCAGGGCGAACATACTAGCGCGTCATTGCAGTTCTACGCCGTTCTGAGGTTTGAGGTCGAGGTTCCCTGGGTGGCGCTGCCTTAGCAGAGCTGGATGCTACAGCCATTGTCTTGTGGCCTGTTCATCAGCGATTAATCGTATAGCTTGTATTCATTTGGAATCACGCATTTTTTGTATCTTATTTCTCTGTTTTTTTTTATTGTCACACAATATTACTATTACATGTCTTGCAATTCCATGTCTCTGATCGCTTATAATTAAAACACAGTAAAGGTCATGCACTTGCACCAGATACCGCCTGAGCGCGATCCTAGCCCCTCTTTTCCCGATAGAATCGAGCCATCTCTTTGATGGCCTGCCCAAACCCGTCAGTAACTAGTGTCCCCTGTCCGATCCACTTTGGTAGCTTCTCTCGGATACGTGGCAAAGTGTATCGACTATCAACGAGTATCAGGGATGCCCAATCACCCCGATGCCGTATGGCACGGCCTGAGCCAAAACAAGGCCATCCGTGAGTAAGTATATGCGAATGTTAAACAAATATGCATGACGGACCAATACTCTGATTTACAGCATTCATACACATATTCTCGTATAATTCTGTTGCGGCGTCTTTGGTCCCACTGGTCATCTTCCACGCGGAACCGAGTTTCTCAGACACTTGCTTCTGCATTCTGTTTACGTATTCCATCCGTTCACGAAGCTCCGGGGATGCAAGATTGGCGAAAGGTAAACCGATGATCACCACCGCTCGTGCTAGATCGTCTGTGAAATTCAGGCCCTCGGATAACTTTGCACCTATTACTGCAAAGAGGAGTGCCCCCGTAGTCTTGCTTTTGGTCGGACCCTTTTCATCCCTACTCACGCCCTGTCACCATGAGGCTATATGAATGTTTCACTAGAGACATTCATCGAGATACGCACTGCACCATCATGGATCGCTGCAGCATAGTCACGCAACACGGTCTCTACCTGTGAGCTATCTTGTGGCTCTAAGAATACCTGCCTCATGGGACAATTATCATTACAAATTGGCTCAATTTTGCGGGAATCGAGGGACACGACCTTTTTCTTGGCCTTCAGCTTGTTCATCAATCCGCTACCCTCCCACGCAGTTTTGACTACGTTCAAAAAGCTATATGAGGGCAGGAAGACAACCATACCACCAGGGACCAGATTGGAAAAGTTGAGGAGAATCTGGCCTAGCTCTAGGATCTGTATATAATGAATGATCGCTTTGTGACCACAACCAAATAGAACGCGTACCATTGCCCGATCGCTTCGCTGTTCGTATTTAAACGTGAGTTCGCTACCTCGTGGACCTTTCTTTAGGACGAGGGTTTGTAGATTTGAGGGAGGAATGATATGCCCACACGAGAATGTAGCGATACGCTCGTTGGGTAGCTTTGAAAACAACTGATTTATGATATCAGGAATCTTCATCAGCCGCGAGGGATTGTTAGCCTAGTATGAGTTAGAAACAGTTCTAGTACATACTTACAGGAGACATTGTACCCCCTGCCAGTATAATCGACCTGGCTACGTCAATGACATCTTGAAAATGTGTAGACGGATTTAAATGTTGATATTTGATTTCCAACTGATCATTTTCAAGAGAAAACGATACACGACCGTCTGGGGAGGAGTTGATTTTTTGTCAAGAGTTCATCGTTAGACATACCGTCATTAGCAGAAGTGAGGGCGGTTATAAAGCTCTCTACCGCATGCAAGGGTGGTGTGGAGCCTGACAATCGCGCGACTTTGGCTAGTTTTGCGGAGTCTGATGAAAAAGTGATTCGTTTTTGGCCAATACGGTCCATCTTAATTCGATGTGCACACCTTTGCCTGCGGCTTTCTCTAGGGTCTTCACTGTATATCCTGATATCTTGCGCGCAATCTGCGTCCCACAGCACTATGAGCATGCAGCCATGAATTTTCACCGACAGATCTACCTTACTGTTACGTAAGTAGACCTCAATCTCGAGTAAATTCACGCCCTCCGTCTTTCGTCCGAGCCTCTGGAGAAGTTCTCCTGGTGTCATGACTTCCACACCAGGACCACGCGCCTTTCCTCTGTCATGTTTGGCCGGAAGTGCTTTCTGATCCTCGTCCTGTTTCCCGGGGGTGTTTGCCTGTTGCAGGCTTTCTCGCCACTCCTCAGCATTTTTGTGAAGAGCATCCAATAGCATCATAAGTCTAGTGAGATGCACCGCATGCGCAGTGGCGAGTCTTGTACGAAAACGGGATAGGTATATTGACAGCTGTTGCCGAGCTGTTGATAGCGTGCGGAAGGGCAGACGAGTTGTAGACAACGAAAGAAGAGAGGATGTTAGATCTGGAGAGAAGCGATTCGTCAGAGGTCAATGGTCGGCCCAAATAGCAGAACGGATGGCTTACTGTGCGCCTCGTCTATTATGATAACTTGGTCCTTCAAGTCAATACCTATTGCTTCACGAGCGGTTTTCTGCAGGAGCAGATTGTACGGCAACAACACTAGCTTGTAAAATTGCGCGAATGAGTGTGAATATTCGTGGGTCCAACATTCCGTGCAAAGAGTGCATATACCTGAGCCTGAGGAATAGCTCGACGGGAGCCGAAATATGGGCAGGTCTCCATGTTTTGGCCTGCGACGACTAGATCTTCAATATCCTTAGGTGTTGCCTTGACCGCAATTGAGCGATCGCTAACTTGAAGTACAGCCGGCGAGACGCTTACTAGTATCTGATCACGTAAATCAAGCATACGTACTTCATCATCCACGCCAGGAAGGTGTGGACATCGCTGCTTTCCCTTCTCTGTGTCAAAATGTGAGTTAAATCTATTGCAAATTACATAACAAGAACAGAGTGCGACGTATGAGACACAGCTTACCGCCAAGCATTTGCCGACAAGCCTCGTCCAAATCTCCTGTGCGTCTTCGTAGCTCTTCATGAATACACAGCTGCTTCCTGGATCCAAGTGATACTGTGCGAGCAGTACCAGCAGTTTGTGGATCATCATCATCATCTATGTCTGAAACTGAGCGCTTAGCACGAGCGGGGTCAGACACTCCTGGAAGCGCGAGCGGATATTCTGAATGTGACGAAAGGGAGAGGTTCAGCTGAATTCGAAGTTTGCGCAATTCATGCAAAATTTGAGCCAGCTGCGAGTGGGTGCGGGACGCATAGTAAATCTTTGTGCACATAGGCTCCTGTTCTTGCTCCGTTCCACCTGTACCACGGTTCAACCTGTTTCAGTGAGTAAAAGCTCCAGGCACCATAGCATGGGAAGTTAGCCTACTTGTTCATGAGAGCGCGTACTGCAGGAGATACGTTAGATAGTTCATCATTCGATCGGTCTTCGGAGGTGTCATGATCGTCAGGCAAGAAATCAGCTTCCTCAAGGTCATCACCTTGTTCTTCGTGCATTATGACTCTCTATAGAGTAATCAGTATGGATACATCAAATCGAGATGGATGGTACCCAACTTGTTTTTTGCGCACATGAGCGCGAGACAGTTTTCTCATTGTCACCTCCTTCTGACGGGCTGCAGCAAGACGTCCGGCATATTCTCGCTCGTCTGTCTCAAGTTCACGCCGCCGGCGCTCTAGTGTCTGCGCGAGAACCCAGTCTGGAACTGACGAATGTCAGACATTGGTCTGGAATTATACTCGACAGACCTACTATCATCACTCTGGCTCATCTCTGCCAACTTTCCTTGCCGCGCGCGATTATGTTCATCCTTTAGCCAAGTTAAGGAGGCGCATAGTAAACTCAGTGTTTTTCCCTAAAGAAGATCAAAACCATACTAATAAAAGGAGAATCTTTGAGCTCACTAACAGTTCCGGTCGGGCTTTCCACTACTGTGACTTTTCTGTCTTCTATGCATTCGTATAGATGCCGCATAAGCGAGAGCTGGATATCATAGGGTTCAAAAGGAAAAGCGGGAAAAGTTGAAGGTGTACAAAGTCGCAGCGACATGGGAATGGTCGAATCTGGATCCCTTGGTGCCAGTGGCCGGTGCGCGACCAACGACGCGTTCGAAGTCACGATAGCAGCACAAGACGCGTTCAGTCACAACCACGTGAAACGCGACAGAAGTTAACTAGAGCCGGAAGTCAATAAGTTAGCAGGCGCCCAACTAGTAATAGCAGCCTTAACTCGGTAACATCTGCGATTACTTACCGGAAATTAAAGAAGACGAGACTTGGAACAGACTTGGAACATATGTGGCAAGAGATGACTGCCCACTCCAATTTTGGGCAAGGCAAAATCCAAGAACGCCTATCACTGGGAGTGGTAATTACTCTTAAGTTACTGGCAGCTGAGTGCGCTAGATAGCTGCTACTAATGCTAACGACCAACAAGCTTCTCATTCGCTTTGCTATTAGACGCATTTCATTTACGAGATGAGTTGGATGGGAGCATTTCAGGGGTCTCCGCAGGGACTATACCCAATGATTGTCACCAAAGGCATCAACCACGTCGTGACATCAGTATCAATGACAACCGGAAATCTACTCAAGATCCTTGACCTTCTGCACGAGACAATCCACCGGTTTGAAATTCGCCATCAGTGCCAGCGCAATCTCGCTTGTGAGCTTCGATATTCCAACCCTAGTACCGTCGTTCTGATGTCGAAGTCATGCTCCTTCACGCACTTCACGATCCCACCTCCAGGAGATCCGGATATGATGTTGGCGCGAATGCCTGTGCGGCCGATGTTGTTCATGAGAAAGACCCGGCGTGCGGACATATCCGGCGAGAGATTGGAATCATTATCCAGCAGAGAGACAAGCAACACCCCCCGCCGACTTATGCCGTGACGCCGCATAGATAGTGTAGAGTTTAGTCATACTTGCACAACAAGACTTATCAATTTACTGGGCTTTATATGAGTCTCAGTTGTGGTGACAGATAGACACCGAAGAACAGAAAGTGGCCATGAGAACAGTTAAGGAAGAATCGCACATTTGGACCATTTCACTTACACAAGGCCGTTGTCGAAGAATAAGTTCTGCGGCAAGACAACCTTCAGCCCCAATTAAGTTTGACTATTAATCAATCCTAAAAAGTCTAAAGGGCATCCGAAATCTAGCTCATCATGCGTCAGTGACAGCCAAAGACAGAACATGCGAGGTACGGCGAAGGTGAGATGATGAGATAGGTCATCCAAGCCTTCACACCCATTTTCCACCAACCAGCTTCCACAATCTGTCCCGCATCGACAAGCGCACCCGCTCTTCTTCCGCTCTCTCCTCCTCACGATCCTTCTTCCTCTGGGCCTTCTTCTCCTCATCGGTCTCCTTCAGTGCGGCAGGTAGTGGCGTACGCGCATTTTCACGCGCCTGCGCGAGTATTCGCTCGCGGCGGGACATTATCCTGGACCGTGGCGCAGGCAACAAACTTTCTGTCAACGGACTTCCAGCTGCGCCTGAGATCTCAGTCTTGACGAGAGGAGCAGCAAGACTAGTGGGTGCCCATTCCTCCGTCACAATGTGTTCTATGGGCGAAGCGAGTTGTGAGACAATGGCCTCGGCTTGCGCTTCCTCCAGAGACGCAGACGATTCTGGGAATTCTGGAGGGACGAGATCCTCAGGTTCATTTCTTTCAGCAGGTTGCGCTGCAGCCATGGCCTTCGCCTGCCCGCGGATTTCCTCTACCCTCTGCATCACCATGGCGTACTTTTCCTGACCTAAACGCATGTGATCCGAGATCTCTTCGGATCCATCCGCTTTTGGCGTGTAAAAGCCTCCCCACGTATAGAAGAATTCCAAGAATTTACGGTTAGGCGGTTTCCCGACTTCGACATCAGTTAAACGGAATGACTTCGCTGTGCATCCGCAGCGAATTCATTACAGCAAGAACAACTAGATAGAGAACACACGTACACGAAATTTCCACTCTCAAATCTACCTCTCGCGTATTTGGCGGATCATTCGACTGGTTTTCTGGTGGTTGAGCAAAGGGTCCGTCTTCTAGCCTGTAATCCTGAGGGTGCAATAAGTCTTGCAGATCGTCCAGCCCAACACCACCGGGACGCTCTCGATCAGCGACTGGAACCTTCACTTTGAGGACGGTGGGCTGGCGCGGAAGGCGTGCGAGCGCTGCTGAATCGTGAAAGTTGACCCAGAAAAATGGAATAAATAGGCTGGGAACTTCGCTGTCCTGATCAACTATGTCAATAATCCAGTTGTGTGCGGTCTAATTTCGAATATCCATAGATAGCCACACACGGAACGTCAAGATGTCCTGATTGTGTGGATGTATGCTTTCTACCAAATCAGAGAGCTCGGCAATGTATGCAGTGCGCGTAATAATGCTAGGTAAAAGGATAATGAGCCACTCACTCGCGCAATGCCATACTCCCGTATGCGACCATACTTGCGTTCAATCCCACGTATCATGGCCAGAACCTCCGGCATTGTGGAAATGCCGTCCCATGGCCGTACGAATAATGTTTTCCCTCCGTGCTGCACACTGCTGGCACTTTCGATCTTCCGGAGGGTGTCCAGTCTCTCGGTACGTGGAGAGGCGGGTGGCAGCTTGATATGTATGCCAGAGGACCCGGTCATATGTGGATTTGTGGCAAGTTCACGTCTCAAGCATTGTCGTCGGAATCGAAGAGCGAGTCGAACTGTTCGGTGCGCATGGCCGAGGTCTTTAGCTAACATGACACCTACCAAATAATAAGGTGAGTCATAAAAGCATACGCAGCAGTCGTGGTTTGCTCACCTTTCAAAGCCGACCTCAGGACAGCAAGCGCAACCGAAGACGAGAGGAAGACTGTATGTCACGCTAGCGAATATGGACAATGATTTAGGCGCTCCTGATTCCGAGACCACGTGACAACTCCTAGATGTAGTGGCGCTGTGGCAGTGACTACTTCCGTCGTTTTCGATCGCGAGTTTTGCACACTTTTGACAACTCGCAAAGTGTCGCTGAATTCTGCTCGGCGACGTGGTGTTCCCTAACGTACATCGTCCATCAACGGTAGCATTGTGTGCTAGCTCAGCCTACTTGCTCAGGATAGCCTCTTCGAACCCACGCGCCGCGTCGGACGAATTTATTCTCCAATGTGAGGTTAACGATTTCGCCGAGGTACACAATTGAGAATATGGTGGGGGGCACAGTAGAAATAAATTACTAACGATGTATGTTGACAGCTAGAGCGAGTGGGAGTGAGATAAACTCTATACAAGACACTCCAGACGAGAAGGTAGTGTGGAGCTAATTGAAAGGGGACACAGAAGCCGAGGAATCGAGATCAATACCTATCTGCTGAACAACTTGAAGACGCAGCCCACGTGCAGAGAAGTCCCACGAGTGGACAGGCGAGTCTTTGATACCTCAAAGGCGTTTTGCTATAACGCAAGTCTTAAATATTCACATTATTCACAGGGATTGAACTCTAGTGTTCAGGATTTGGTGAGGATATGCATTGAAAGAGTCTTCATCACAACGCTCAAACTGCATTATGTGTATGCAGATGATTCTCACATGGAACCTTGTCCTCGTCGAGAAAGGCCTCTCAAACGCTTCGCTACTGGAGACTTACACCGAAGAGCGTCTCCCGGTGATTGTGGCTATGTTACAGAAGACGACTGACATTCTCAAGAAGACAATAGAAGCAAATGCGAACACTGGATCTGGCGATGACAAAGCATGGAAGCTTGGAGGTGCGCTCAAGCAACTAGGAGCGAATTACCGCTGGAGCTTCATCGTGGTGGATGAACGCACCCCCTTCGTGGCATGGCAGCATGTACGAAGGCTCGGAAGGAGAAAACCATCATGCGGGAGATCGTGCTCCGGACGCGCCTGGCCTCATGGTCGTCAAGTCGCAGTTACTCGAAAACACAATACGTAACACGACATCACTATTCCAGATATTTCGCCCGTTGCGCCACACGCTGCTCATGTTCTCCGCCGTTTCTGGGGATGCACCACTGCTCCTTGGACTTCTGCGCCGGCACAATCGAAAAGTCATGTTTACTGTGCTTATCTTATCTCAGACTGCGTCGTACTTCGAAGACGTTCAGGCTGCAGACCTCGTCGTATCAGATCAACATGGTCACGCGTATGCGAGGTACGGCGTCCCCGTAGATTGTTTGACTATCGTTACTGTAAGACCAGATGGATCTGTGGGGGTATACTGCTTGGCTTGGAAGTGTTGCAGCGGTAACTGTGCGGTATACTTTCTGCTGTGTAGGTTTTACATTTGAAATTCTTTTCTTGCCAAGTCAGAACGTTTTCCCTGCTAGTTCACTGCTATTAAGTTGCCCGGTCTACAGATTAAATTACCTTATAGTTGTCATCTCAACATACTGTATGGGTAAGTGTATACCACCGGCATCGAAGTGTGCCAAAAGCTTTGACAAAAACGGAAACAGCTCGAGCCAGATTTTCCTATGGCACCAGATGGGCTGAAGCAGGTATGATGAAACCGCCTCTGATTACGAAAGTACAATATTGGAAAATCCCCTCCCCACCCAGCTGAGCGCGATCTTTACAGTAATGAAGTTGCCCGAATAAATCATGACCCCACGCTTTCTCAGCTCGGCGCTTAGTTCGGATTTCAATACCACATCGGTGAGTCATTCCTCGCTAAAGTCCTGCTCGTATCTCTTTAACTTTACAGCGAGAGGTCACAAGATCAATCGCGGGCCCGAGCCGGTGATTGTCTGATTGAGGCTATGACAACAGAAGGCTTACAGCCTGAGGAGGCTTTCAATCATCTGGCCGGTTCATCATGTGGGTTCTCGAATCATTCAACCAAAACTTGATCAGTTACGACCGCAGTGCACCACCCGTGATGCTTTGGTATTTGCATATATCGCTCGACACGGAACTTCATATGACAACCGTGTCCATAACCTTTCGAAGCCAAACTTTCGGCATGCGATGTCGCTATACTGGCGCTCCGGGATACGACTTGAGTTGTGCGAGTTATTTGTATGCTCCCGCCGAGACTGTTACCTGACATGAATCAGCTTCTAGACCTATCCCCCTGCCGCCCTGTATGACAAAGGCCTAAGCTAACTAGCCTGTACCTGGTCCTATGGCATCCATACGATGACGTAACACATGTTAGTTTGTCAATGCTGTCGTTCATTTCCGTGTTCACGAAAGGCCAGGAAATTAGCGCATCGTAGTTTCGTCCTGGCTGAGTAGTCGCCCTGGTGCAAGCGGATTAGTTCAGAGCTTTTATCCCTCACACCTCTGTTGCCGTGTTCAGACTTGCCACGATAAGTTCCTATCTTGAATGGTCCGTATCGTGGCGCCCATCCATGGTATGTCCGATGTTACTATTAATCTTAATTCTTCAAAGGTGACTTGGCGTTAGCCGATTCCTGCATTCTGAGCAGAACTGGCTAGTGCGAGGTTGATATGATGACACCCCACAGGTAAGCCGCGAAACCTTACATACTCGCGCAGATATCGGAAATGCTGCTTACCACGGCCAAGGTCATCTGGACATGTTGTGTGGGAGCTTGTGTATCGAAGACGTTACGGCAGATAAACGGCAGAGTGTTTCGGAATACGTCAATAGTATAAGAATACATACATCGTATATATACTGGGAGACCCGGCTTCGTTCTCACCTATAACCTCTCAGATGGCAACATCAGTTCTTGTGGTGAGTTGACTACAGGCACTACAACAAATATGTGACCTCAATTCATGTATGTGCTTAGGCTGGCGCTGGACCTGCAGGACTAGTTGCTGCATTAACTCTTTGCCAGAATGGTGTTCCTGTGAGGATCATCGAGAAAGAGCAGAGATCTCGTGTGGGTCAAAGAGGTGCAGGAATCATGGTGAGCACCTGCGGCTATCTGCGTTTCTGTCATGTTATCGACACATATCGGACAGGCTCGCTCCATGGAGCTTTACAATTTCTTGGGTGTCTTAGAAGATATACAGGCCAAGGCATTACCTTTGGTCCCCATGCGCATTTATAAGTTGCCCGAAGGCGTCGAGCCTATTACGACATTCCGTCTAGATGAGGCTGTCCCGCCAACGCCTGCGACGCCACATGTGAGTTCTGAGTTGGACTCCTGCATGAGGTCCATTTCGAGCTATCGTGCTTACTGATCCGACGGAGCAGACGAATATTCTCATGCTGGGACAAGAACACACGGAGGCCATTCTGCGTGCGCATTTGCAGAAGTACGGCTGTCACGTGGAGCTCGGCACGGAATTGTGTAGTTTTGAGCAAAAGCCAGAACATATTACTGCTCACATCGTGAAAAGGGATGGAGACCAAGAAACGACCGAAACGATCAGCTGCCGCTGGCTGATTGGAGCCGATGGAGCAAGAGGTAACCACATCGCTGTGTTGGTTGGGACAAGTCTGCTCAAGTACGATTTTCTAGGCATCGTGCGCAAGAGCTTGAAAGTTGCATTCCATGGCGAAGTACGAGACGAGAGGCATCATCTCGTCATTGGTGATGTTAAGATCCGAGGATTGGATCGCAAGGTGAGCCGCGAAGTCACCCTCAGAGCAAGTTTTTAACTGCGCGCAGCATTGGCATTCGTGGGGGGATATGGATTCTATACTGTGAGTATCTTCAAGTTGCAACCATATCTCCAAACATCAGGCAGACCATACTCTCAGCATCATGCTGCGTGCCACAGAAGACGACGACACATTTTTCTGCTTCATTGGGGGTCAGATAGACCGCGACAAGGTGGTTGCAGACCGCGCCGAGTTGATTCGCGTCTTCCGCGTCGGCACCGGTCGCGCTGACATAGAAGTAGGCGAGGTCAAGTTTCTGACCAACTACAAGTAAGCGCCGTTTCACCGTCGAAAGGGTCTTCTCTGCTCTGACGCTCCGCAAGGCCACACCTTCGGCTAGCAGACAAATTTTTCGACGGGCGGGTATTCATCGCCGGAGGTCTGGACGTCCTCTATCATACGAAAATTTTGTGTTGATCTCGCTTTGATCAGATGCTGCCCATGTCCATAGTCCTTTCGGCGGACAGGTCGGTATTCGCAACCTAATTCTCCACTCAGTTCTGACGCCATTCCGCCCAGGGACTCAATTCGAGCATACAGGATGCGGTGCGTGCAGGGCGAACTCAGTGCAAAGACCACACTCACTTTGCTAATAGTTCAATCTCTCCTGGAAGCTTTCCCTCGTGGAGAAGGGTTTAGCTAAGCCCTCCCTCCTCAATACATACGGCGAGGAACGCATCCCGGTCATCTCTGAGATGCTGAAGACGTCCAACGAGCTGTTCGATAAGGCCATTCACGCGAAAGGCGACGGGAGCACGAGTGAAGAGGCATGGAAGAGGGGCGGCCCGCTAAGCCAGCTCGGCGTCAACTACCGCTGGAGCTCTATCATTGTGGACGAACGTGCTCACCCTGAAGATGAGCCGCTGGACCCGTATGGCGTCCATCGTTGCGACGCCGATATTGTGCGGGCGGGGGAGAGAGCACCCGAGGCGCCCGGCCTTATTAAAGTCGTCGCGAACCCGGAGATCGATGCCAACCATCGCCAGGAGACCACGTCGCTGTTCCGCACGTTTGGTACAAGCTACCACACTGTCTTGCTCTTCAACCATTCTAATGGCCAGCTCGGCCCCATAACGGCGCTTTTGAAGATGTGTCCTTCGTGGGCAATTCGTTCGGCGATTGTTTACCCACATGATAGTCCCTTCTGCCCGCTGATTGACGGTTTCAATCTCGCATTCATAGACAGAGATGGGCATGCATATACAGGGTATGCAGTCAGGCGCGATATGACAATCGTCATCGTCCGGCCAGATGGTGTTGTCGGAGGTATAATGTGGGGAGCAGAGGGTCTGAAGCAATACCTTACTAGTGTCTTTACAGCGCTCGACATCGATGATTAGCCAGTAGTGGCCCATGTAGCCCGTAAGGAATGAATATGTACTTGTAACATGTGCCACAAGACGGTAACGGTATAATCCCTTCAGCTCTCAAGCCGCCGCACAAGCACTCTAGCAGAATGGCAGTATCTAGGCAATTGCGCGTCCAACGAGAAGTTTTTACATGCTCGATGCACTCGAGCAGTGTTCGTTCCCGAGAGATCTTACTTTCACTGAGTTCTCCCTTTCACTAGGTCTTTCCCAATTATGAGTTTTGAGATGCCATTTTTTCCACCTCTCATAAATCTCCACTATATGCGTATGTGTCGCCGCACCGTCAACGAGAAGGCAAAGAAAGACTCGGCCGTTCTCATATTCGTCCCAACATCGAACGTTGAAAAGAGGCCTGTGATCTCCGAGCGAGCCTGGGAGCGTCCTCCGCTTATCGGATTATCATGAAATTGAAACTTGTGCGCACACCTCTTGCACAACTTGTGGAACAGCAATCATTCACTCTGGATACCCACACTGGCTGATTTATTCGACCGCAGAGAATCAAGACTATCTACCTGGTTTTCCAACTCTCGAGCCATATAGCTTCCTAACTTGGTGGCATGAGCGGGACACAACAGTCAAGTACAAGAGCTTCCCCATCTTCGTCAGGCTCGAAGTTTGCACCCTACAAGCAGGCTCTGAAGGCCCTTTCAGAACGCACTCGCACCCCTCTGCCTTCTCTCGTATTCTCCTTCGCCATTCTCCATGAACTGACAGCCATCATTCCGCTTGGTGGTTTCTTTTTCGCCGCTCGTGCGTTCAACGTAGGTGACAGGATTACCCGAAATTTTCCTGCTCGAACATCTGAAGGAGCTGCGGCGCCGGATGCTAAAAATTCATCGGTGGCAAACGCACCAACCTCCGGATGGATGGCCGCCAAAAGTCGGGAGTGGTGGCAAGAAGGGCAGACGTGGGCGGAAAGAGTGGGCAGGCGATACGGCTTCTTCGGGCTAGAAAAGCGCAACGGCAGAGACAGCAATTCTTCTGAAAGCATTTGGTCGTCGGAGCAAGTGGCCGGCGACGTGGTGAACGCTGTTGTTGCATATTGCCTTACAAAAGTACGTCGGAACCTCCTTCTATCTTGTTTCCCCATTGTCTGAGTTACGTTATTGTCAATTCGCAGGCCCTATTACCTGCCCGCATCGGATTATCGTTGTATCTCTCTCCAGCCTTCTCGCGAGGAGTGATAGAACCCATGCGATTGACAACTCTGCGAGCCTTTTCCCGCAAACCCCGTTCTCCTCCGGTATAATAGTGGCTGTAGACCAGTTACGCAAGAATTGTCTTTGCTTGCCATATGCAAACTCGTGCATAGTGTATGTACGTATGTTGAACACAATGCTGTCAACAAAAACTTTGAATGTCGCAGATGCACGAATATGATAGTGACTTGTGATTTGATAGTGGAGATCAACGAGATAGCTAAAGCTACAGGATACCATAGTACGTGTTATTGTTAGTCTGCAAGTCTGTGTCCAAGATGCTAAGTTCATGGTTCTTCGTAGTGTGCGGATGCCGTGCCTCCGAGTGATCGCAGCTCCTTGCCCAAATTGTGCAGTATCTAATCCTGCATTTTGACGACTCCATGGAGCGTAAATGCTCCTTTCCCATCATACCGTCCGATGGGACAATTTGCGCGCTCGTGTCTTGACCACGAGTGCGCCTTGCACGATGAGTCGTCGCATCGGAGTTCTCTTCTTCTCTTCAAATGGCTCAAACAAGTCTGTCTGCGCGGGCCAAAATTCTGCGCTGACGTACATTGCATGGCGCCAAGTTGGATTGTATCGCCTAGATCGCTGTGCAGGCCGCGGACGGCGGCGCACCACAGGAACGTCTGTGCCGAAACTGCATTCCCTGCACGCGTCCGCCGCGTGTGCTTCACCTTGCCGTCGGTCCTTAGGCCGGACAAGACGTCTCGGCGCGTCGACCACTATAAATGCGGACTGCATGCTGGATACGTCGACGTCGCCGCTCGACCGTGACTCGGCCTCCAGGCTCAGCCAGCTCCTGTCGTCGTCGTCCTCTCTACCGATGACAGACAGCGTGGCTACCAGGTCCTCCATGCTCGCGACCGAGGCATTTCCAAGGTTGAGTGTTAAACGAGTGTAATTGACATCTTGTGACGCCGAATGAGTGTGGTTGTCTTCCTCTTCTCCGTCCGCCATGTACCCGTCCAGGATGCTTTCTATGTCGCCTGCGACACTTTGAAAGCCACCCTCTGCCCCTTCGTACTCTTCCAGGTGTTCCTCGAGACCGTCGAAAGGCACCTCCTGCGAAATCTGTAGGAGAGACTGTAGGTGAACGTTGTGGCAGATCCTTCCAGTTCCTCACCTCTCGCAGCGCCACCCGCATCGGTGTCGGCAGTGAGTCTCGCGAGGGTGTTGCAGGAGTGACCATGATCACAGGAATTCTAATCGTGTCCATGTCCGACAGAGGAAGGCAGGAAGAGCAGAACGCGTTACAGGTCCAGTGGGACGGGGTCCTTATTCGAGTCTTACGAGCCCTAGTCATTTATACTGGCGAATAGTTGTGGCCGTCGCCATCCGTCTATAAGTCACGAAAAGCCACACCGCTCGCGTTAGGGCAACGCGAGCCTCGAGGTCGCCTGTGGCGTGTTCAGTGGCAGGTGAGGATGCGGTGCGGCTCGTGCACTGGCAACGCAACCGATGATCGATAGTGATATAATGCCCACAATGGGCTGCCAGACATGGACAATAGATAATAGATCTACGTAGGCATCGTCAGAGAAATATATACATAGGCTGCCACTCAAGCCTGGACCACGATTTCCCAGTCGCTTGTAATGCTGACGCCGGGATCCTTGATGACCAGCACGCTAGCCATGCCTTCTCTTTTGTCGGACGCTGCCACTCCTTGCGTGTACTCCCACTGAAGCTCCGAGTCACCCATCTTCACACTGGCCGGTTTCGTAGCTGCGCCAAAAATCACAACCCTCTCCACTCGCACATCGGCCATGCTCTTTGCGAAGTCGTTAGAGCCGTCGTATTTTGTCAGCGCTACACCATCGACCGCCTCTCCCGGTTTTTGCGCAGCCAGATTCCGGCTGCTGATGCGCACAGCCTTGGATTTCTTCTCCGTCTTCTCAGCAATAAATTCCCGCCACACGAAGTGGCCATCGCGGTGAGAGTACGTTTCGCCGTCGTCGAGGTACAGCTCTCCATGCGCCACGTCCTGATTGCTCAGGGCAATGCGCAAGGTGAATGGGTCGTACTTCATAAGCGGAGATGATCGCCTTGGGCGCTCGCGTGTAGGTACGATGGATCCTCCGCGAATGAGAAGAGGTGTCTTGTGCAGGTCGGCCTGGATGGTAACGCTCTTTCCCTTCGATGCTCCGCGGTGCACATCATGCGTGAAATAGTCGTAATAAACCTAAGGGTTGCAAGTTACTACGCGGTCAACCGGTCGCCTAGCATCAACATACCTGATCTTCCGGAAGATACACGGTGGTGTGCGTCGCACCCTTTTCGACAATAGGCTTGACCAGCAGCCCGGAGCTGCCCACAAAGAATTGGTCGTCTATCGCGAAACCTGCCTCGTCATGGGGGAAGGCGACGTAATGGGGTCGCAAGACCGGCAAGCCGGTCACACTCGTCTCGCGGAAGGCTGTGTACCACACCGGCAACATACTGTAGCGCATACGCAAGACATTCCGGATGATGCTCTTGTATGGCTCGTCCAAGAGATATGGCTCACGCCTCTTGGTGTCGATGTGGGCGTGCGCACGGAAGAACGGCGAGAAGATGCCGACTTGGTACCATCGCACCAACATCTCTGAATCGGGGTTCCCGAAGAAACCGCCAACGTCGGCTGAGTGAATTTGGTAAGTAAACAGTCATCCTTCGACTCCCAGGACTTACATCCTGCAAAACTGAAGCCTCCAATGTTGTTCGCGAGCACCATGCGGACGCCAGCGGCCATATGCTCCCACGTACCCAGATTATCACCCGTCCACATTGCGCCAAAGCGCTGGGAACCGGCATAGAAAGAGCGTGTCAGAACGAATGGTCTCCTCGGTGGGTCGGTGCGAGTCATGACCGCCTGAGACGTTAAATTGTGCTATATTGAGGGGTGTTAGGAAGGGCATACAAATACATTAAATAAATATGCTGACCAAAAGCATCCCATTGATATTGTGGATATCGCGGTGTTCCCAACCCCCGTGGTGAACATTGTCGCGGGGCATACTAATTTCTGGTCCGTTGAACACCGATGGCTTGTACGAACTGTCAGCCCTCGCACAAAAATCAGATGCAGTAGTTTCCTTACTTCATTCATATCGTTCCAGATGTACGTGTCTATTGTACTGTCCGTCCAAGACCACCTGTCGCCTTGAGGCAACGTCTTGAACAGAGTCTTCCACCAGTCCCAGCTATTCGGGTTGAAAAAGTCAATCCAGGCGCTGCTACCGCTCCAGCACCACCCTTCATAATCCTTCTCTCCATCCGCTGACTTTACGAGTAGACCGCGTTCGTTTGCTTCCTGATATACAGGATAGTTGTCCGTGCGCTTCAAATGCGGATCAATAATAACAACCATCTGCAATTGCAAAGAACACATGATTTATGACAAATGAAACGGCGACAAACGATTTGACGAACCTTGCGGCCAATATCTTCCACATCGTGCATCATGTCTACTGGGTCCGGGAAGTTCTTTTTATCCCAAATGAAGTACTTGTGCTCTTCGGCATACTCAATGTCCAGCCAAAATACATCGACGGGCATGTCCTCCATATCGAAGCGCTTCTGCACGTCACGCACATCATTAGAACTGATGTAGTTCCATCTGCACTGGTGGTATCCAAGTGCCCAATGCGCCGGCAACGCAGGTGTGCCTGTGAGTCTGGTGTACTGTGCAAAGATGTCTGCAGGCGTCGGCCCCGGCATGATGAAAACGTCTAGAATACCGGATTCGGAGATCCAGTGCGTCTCGGTGGACTTGGGCGAGGGATGCGCGACATCAATCCATGTTTCTGACCCAACGGCATTGAAGATCGCGACAGTCGATCCGGCCGAGTGCGCATGCATGACCGGGATGGAGCCATACAGTGACATCGGCGAATCGGCAAGATACTCAAACACATCTGCGTTATACAGACGGTATGGCTCGGAGTAGTAAGCATTCTCGCCTGTTGTGGTCGGCAATGAGAGACGCGTCGCATGCTGAGGGATACCATAGACATGTCCGTGGTTCGGGAATGAGATATCAAGGGAGAGCGATTCGGGACCTGCTCTGTTATGTTAGCGGCGACGTATACCATATGACCCATACATGGTACGAACCTTTTGGCTTGCTGTCCGTCCACGAGCCGAACTTCTCCTCCCAATATTCATCCTCACTATCGCCCTCGAACCACGCCCTATTGTTGACTTGCATCACTACCTGCTCACTCTCACCCGCAGGCTCCTCCTTGGGGCTGTTCTCTTTCGCCCGGAAGTGTTCCATATGCAAGAGCCCCTTCCCATTAAGTACTACCTGCTCTTTTCCTCCCTGGAGTAGTGTCACTCGCAATGGGTTAAACGCGACGACGACTTCGACGTCCTTCTTGTCCCCGTACTTGGCGCGCACATCCGCCTTGCCAACGGACCAGCGGATCTTACTACTGAGCTCGGGCTCAGCTACAAGTGCCCAGGATGCAGCACCATCGTAGCGCTTGCGCAGTCCATCGACTTCGTCCATGCGCACCCGCACCACGCCGTCATCATGTATCCGTACGTCTAGTCCAAACTTGATGTCAGGGTACAGTGATGACTTGACCGCAGCGGTGAACGACGCCAAGTTGGGCGCGATTGAGATAGTAGACGCATCTACGGAATACGGAGAAACCCACGACGATGAAGCCTCTTGCGCTCTAGCCGACAATCCACGACCTCTGCGGCAGAATGCAGACTGCGAGCATGTCTTGAAGTCTTGGGTCTTGACCGCCAATACTGCTGGCACAGCGGCCAGCAGCAGAAGTGAGCAGAATGCCCGCATTCTTTGTCTAGAATGCAGGATATTCCGAGCAGCACACAGATGTGAGGATGTAGGGAATTGTAACTCGAGGTATACGGTTGCTGTAGCGCGTCTACATACGCGGCAGTACTGATATTGTTTCACGTGACCAAAAGTGGACACTAAACACCTTCTGATTGGCTGAAGAGATCCGCGGCATTGTAGCGAAATTCAAGCAGAACCTCGTGAAGCAAACTTGTCGACAAGTGTATGAGTAACGTGGACGATAGCTACGAATAGCGATAGCCGAGCGTGCGCGCGCACATGCGTAGAGTAATCGTTTTATGGTACACTGACGATTCCAACTTGGTCCGGTAACTTCACCACGAAGCCTGTCCCGAGGCCAAGCACAACCCATGGTGCATCGGTAAAGCTACGTTAGCGTCCAGAAGTGCGGCCAGTCGAGCGAAAGAAGCCCTGCCTCAAACCGACCCGGGTTGCCCGCCGCGCGGCAAGGCAGACGATGGGGTGTAGATCAATGCGGGTGGGCATGAGGATTTGTTTCGCCTGGGCGACACAACCAATTAGCAAAGAACAACTTGTCAGACCCACCCTAGAGAGGCTTCACTTGTATTCCAATGCTTCTGATTCGTAATGGGCTCGGCCAATAGAGCCGCGTATGTTATATCTGGATTGATTCGTATTGAGCTCGCCTGAGCTTACCTATCTCATATAAAAGGAGGACTTGCCTGTGCACCAGTCATCAGTTACTCAACTACGCTCCAATCACTCATAGTACAATGTCTGTGAGTGCTGCTCTAAATCTGCTGGTGGTTAGTAGAAATTCGTTACTGACTCATACATTCACTGGCAGGACACCGCGAAGTGCGCTAAGACCGAAGCTAATGGCGGAAGCTGCAACTGGCCCGCATGCGGCTGCGCCGAGCCACCAAAGAACAAGTAAAAGTTGCATCCGAAAGCTTGCTGCTATCGTCCTAAGGTATATTCTCATCCAGTCGGTCGTCGAGCTAAGCAGACCTGACGAATGTGCACTCGAAGGGGCGCAGAGGTTTTGATCTACATTGGGACACAGTGGCATATGTTGAGAATATATGCGATACATTCGAATCGCACTGTAATTGCGTCATGAAAGATGTATATCTGAAGAATGATATGGGACAACCGCTACATGAGCGAAATGGAACTTGAAGCGGCCAACAACATATCAAGAATGGGGGGTTGAGCGCTGAGCATGGACTGAACGTTGAACGTTGATGCATGATGAGCTGTACTTCGATGCCGGTGATTGCCTGCGGGGATGGACCTCTTAGAGACGTGAGCAGCATCAACGTCAACTAAATTGAATCATTATCAATAGTGAAGATACACTGTAGCATGCATGGCGTACGGGGTATGACGAGCTGTAGTTTAATTGTCAAGCACATATATTGCGGCCACCAAAAGATATAGCGTTTGTGATACAAGTGCCAAAGACGTATGGGATGGATTATTTGTATGAGATGGATGAGGGATGATGAATGTATGAGACGGTCTTACACCGGTTTTGTGCCCATATGTGAGCAAGAGGAAGTGAGTGCAAAACGTGGATGCAGTGAACCCTGGTTGGGCGCTAAACACGCTGGTATAACTTATGATGATGCTTGGCATGAGATGATCCCTGGTGCATCCACCCTGCTTCCGTACTGCCACAGCTGGCTCATGTAGGCCTCAGACCCAAACTTGTTCTACGACATGACTCTCGCTCGGCTCTAGTGTCTTCAGCGTCGTGTACGGTCTCAGGCGGTCACTGCCGCCCAGCAGCAGGCCAGTGTATCTGACAGTAATCTCAAATTTGGTTTGCTGGTGGTGGTGCCCCAGGAAATTAAGTGGAGCGAATGGCCCCAGGATGATGGGCCAGCGCCATCTGGTAGTTTAGCCAGTGTGAGCAGCGTTGAACTATCTACCCGGGACGATGAGTACGAAACTCTTGGCAAGTACGTATACCAAGACCAGTTGCCGTCGTGCTCCAATTCTGCTCCTTGGTATTTCTCTGGGCAGCATATCAATCTTGGAGGGCTGGCAGTTGGATACAATAATCCTGGAATACATATTGGATCTAGTTGAGGAGCATAGGTGAAAAACAAGAGTATAGCATTTTCACTCTTCTGAATGACTTTCCGTATCGAGTTGCCTGTGTCTTACCCTTGATAGATGTTGATGAACAGTTCTCCACTGCATTCATGATTGGCCCGAAGCGGCTGTGCACCGCAAAAGATGATACGCATAAATGAGCCGTGCTAGTTATTAATGGAGTCTCCATCCTACTCAGGATTTTTTGCCAAGAAGCTGCGAATTTTGGTCCAGGACGGTGAGTCAGTCATCTATACCAGTTCACTTCCTTATCCTGACTGATGTTGATTGGTAACAAGACATCTCTCCGAATGCATCATTGTCTCGAAATAGACGAAATTCTTGCGGTCATTGTTGACTACGCGTATGAAAGCCGACCCACGTACGATGCTGCAGAAGGAATCTCCGTGCAGCGAACACAACTACGAGGCTTCGATAAGGCTACAGTTCTGGCTCTTGCACTCACCTGCAGATCATTTACCGATGCCGCTCTCAATCGCCTCTGGCATTCTCAGAAGGGTATAGATCGGGTGCTCCGGACCCTGCCTGCGGACGCGTGGTCCGAAAAACGGGCTGATGTGGTACGCGTAGTCATCCTTGATTGTCCTACATGAACTGCAATACTGACGGTTGCATGACAGCACATTACGCGACCACTTTCCATTGCGGATTGGGGGCGCTTCGATTACTACGCGGGCAAGGTCCGAGTGCTTGAATTCCAATCGAGTCGTATTCACAATCGGCCACCAGAGAATTCTTACGAACCATCCCCAGTCCAAGGCTTTCATTATCTTTTCACTGGACGAAAAATACCGCTGCTATTTTCTCAACTGCGTCATTTCACATGGTCTGGTATAGGAAATACTGGTCTTGCCCCTCTTTTTGTCGGGCAACAACTCGAGTTATTAAACCTCACCCTCTCAGTACTTCAGCGAGCACATCAAGCCTACGTGTCTCCTCCAGATGATTTGAAATTCGCATTGGGTATTCTGCCAAGGCTACAATGTTTCTTTATCCACAATCAAATGATTCGGACGCCAGTGGAGCCCTGTTCGGCTTGGGACATTTTTGGCTCATGCAGCAACCTCCGTGTCGTCCGCGTCGACCTGAAACTTTCTACAAACGATCTTGTTCGCATAGCTCTCATGCCTTCACTAGTTGAATTTCACTTCGTCGCAAATTCCAACGATGACCTGGCTCCCCTCCTAATGATTCGAGACCAGCCTCTTTTCCCTTCCCTCCGCACCATTGCTCTAGGCCAGTCTCGCAACCGTTGTGGGGCAGATATTTCCTCGTGCGCTGCCTTACTCGAGAAAATGAATCCAGGTGTTTTACAAGACATCAGTCTTGAAGTCGTAGGCACGTCATCATCTGCTATGCGCAGCAAGCTCCTGTCGAGCTTGCGTATGCATCGCTCGACTTTGCGGAAGCTTCGTCTTGTTGGCTTACGAACCAATCCCGCTCCTATTCAGCTCCTCCGTGAACAAGACGTATTTGAAGATTCCGAACTGGCCCCTCTTCTCTCCTTCACCGGTCTCACCCATTTATGGCTCTCGTTCATCTGTCGATATGACCTGGGGGACTCGATAGTTCATCGAATGGCGGATAGCTGGCCTGCCCTACAAAGCCTGAAGATCGGGGTCACTCTTGGATGGGATCAGAGGTCGCGTGTGACGACCTACGGTCTTGCGAGACTCATCAAGACGTGTCCGCAAATGCGGGAGCTCGCCCTCCCGATAGATATCTCGCGGAATTGCCTGGATCCAGAGCGCGATGAGCTCCCGCAGAGCCACCACATTACGGCCATCGACCTCATGGATTCCGCAATTGTTACGGAGGATGAAGGTGCACTTGATACTACCGCGCGCTGCTTTGCGGCCCTACTTCCTGAACTCACATGCATCAAATCGACTCGGCCGCTCTGGCAGCTGCCACGGCTCAAGGGGCCTGATAGCAGCGACACGGCGCAGGCTTGCTGGACGGCAATCCGGAACAAGATTGTTATGCTGTGTCCTGATAGAGAGTACGTTGTTAGCAAGCATGATAATATGTGTCCCATTCCTCGTGGACTCGCGACATGCATGGTATCTAGACTGAGGTCATAAGATGGTAGATGAAGGGGCGTGGCTATACGAGGGCGGAAGATGGGGTCTAAAGCTGCAAATAAGTTATTACACCTTGATAGGGCGATCTGACAGGACGTTGGCCCTGCGTTAATATAATCTCACAACCATGGAACCAAGCGCGTTCCTCACAAAGGCAATGTGCGGAAAGGCGCGGACGAGTCGATTGATTCCTTACGGCCTTCTGTTGTTCGACAGTTTCTCAACAGTACCAGCTCACGTTCAGACGCATTGATCAAATTCAAATCATGGATTTGAGCGACTACGTAACACCATCAACGTCCCGTTCAGCCCTGATTAAGTGAATTCTCGACACAAACAAGATCTCCGCTTGACTTCCGCCTCGAGTGTCGCTGATATAGGATTTTTGTCAGATTCCTCTGGCCCATCGACGGCTAGCCATAAAGTTGACATACCTAGGGACCTCGTCAGTGCTACGAAATTGAACGTCTATTTGCTCTTGGGGGGCTCAGCACAGCCGCATGCGGGCCAGTTGCAGGAGCCACCGTTAGCCTCGGTCTTAGCGCACTTTGCTGTATCCTGTCACGAGTATGCGTGAGTGACGAGTGCTTGTAGTGATTCTGTCAAGGCGTGTACTCACAGACATTGTAGTTTGGATAGTTTGGATTGAGTGAGGAACTGAAGACCGCAAGGTCCTCCTTATATACCAGATAGGTAGGAAGCACCATAATTTGGACGTATAACACACGGCTCTATTGGTCGAGCTCGTAGCAAATCAAAACGTACGGAGATGCAAGTGCATTTCGTTCGACGTAGGAATTACAGATTTCTTCTTGCTAATTGGCTACTTGAATCGGACGAAGTGGTCTCCATCTGGTTCTCTATGATTCATTAATCAATGCTTTCCGAACTTCACCATCTATCTTCAAGACCGGCGCATACGCCCGAGGCCCGTGCTTTATATTTTCTTGCGCTCTGAATGCCAATATCCAATGCGAATAGTCGTGCTCATTTCTGTGGCCGTGCAGGTGCCCTCGCGATCGATATGCGAGCACCTAACTGCAGTCAAAATGGGCGGCAAGGAAAGCCGGCTGTGCACAGATCTAGACGTTCCCAAGTCACTAATACTTGGCTTGATCACGGACGTAGTTATCTAGCGGAGGGCAAAGGACTCCGGGTGTTGAATCTGTTCTCCGGCAGGATATGGTGGATAGCGGTCTTGGTATACGGGGTCTGATGGATAAGGAACAACGGAACGATGAATACACATTTTGTCCGGCTCAAGCGGCCAATTGACGAAGAGCTGTCTGTCAGATCCGCATCGAAGGAGCTGCACTTACATTCCGCATGTCGTGATTCGTGGTACGTCCAACCAATAGAGCCGTGCGCGTTATACCTGCATGCGTCCTTGGTGGGCTCTCCCTGTACATCTGGGGGATATAAGAGAACGACCTGTCCATGGGCCAATCTTCAGCTACTCACCACACTCCAAGCTACTCAAATCACAATGTCTGTGAGTACACACACCGGGATATGTACAGTGGTCTTGAGAATTTGTCACTCATACATATTCATGGCAGGACACCGCGAAGTGCGCTAAGACCGAGGCTAACGGCGGCTCCTGCAACTGGCCCGCATGCGGCTGTGCTGAGCCTCCCAAGAGCAAGTAAACAGACATTCGCACATTGCTGTTGTCATCCCTAGGTATGCTCGTGGCGTTTTACGGGTCAGACAAATCTGATGAGTTATACTAGTGACACATACTGGAGACGTAGGCTGGGAGTCACATTGGCATCAGGATGGCCGTCTTGGGCCAGTATAAGATGTATACTTGTCTAAGGGGTGTTAGCAGCTGCTAAGATGTAATGTAAAATGTCTGCATTTTCACCTGTCTAAACCAGTACACCATGAGACTCGGCTCTCGATAGGGCGCGGAGTGATCACGACAAGTCTTTCGCAGCCACAGGCTCAAAGCAGAACTAGAGTCGGATCCATTAACCCGCATGTCATTTTTGATCGCCTCAGTACTCATGGGTTGCAATGGTGTGCACGAAGCTGGGATGGCTGTGTTGAGGTAAAGTGCGTATGTATGAACAGGAAGACACGATTGAATTCGACGAGCACGAGAAAATCGGATGAGGATGTGGTAATACAGGTTTCTATGAAGCAGATGAGTGGACGACATGCACGAGAAGGAAGGGATGAATGCAAAATGCAAAGCGAAATACGCAAAGACAATGAGGACGTGAGAGGGGGGTGGCCAGAGGATTGACATAACGATAACTTGCACTTGCACGGTGCACGGTGGTCACCGGCCCGCCTCCTGTTGTGTGAGGGCTGCGGCGCTACGCCGCCGGAACTTCTGGGTCAAATCGCGCGCCTTGTCCATCCATCCCGCGCGCTCGCTCCGGTCGACTATACTCATCTTTGAGCGCTGTGGACGCAGGGCACCTGGTGTGTGGGCGTGGGCGAACGAGACGCTAGTGGCAGAGTACACCTCCTCAGCCTCCGTCTCGACAGTAGCCTCTTCAACGGAAACACCGATGACGAAGCTACTAGTCAGAACGTCGCGCGACCGTGTGCGACTGCGAGACAGCTTGCGGGAGAACGCCTTGGAGAGCGACTGCTTGCCGGCGATCGTAGCCATTTGTACGACCTGCTCTTCCTCGATCGTATGGTCGTGTTGCGGCAAATCACCATCGGTCGCGGACGCGAGCGAGTCCGCGCTGCCATGCTAGACAAGGGCATTCAGCGAAAGGAACTGCAAATGACAATCAAAGAAGCACGTATGCTCGCCACAACTCCTAGAGATTGCCATCAACGATGTACTGTCCACCAAGGATGGACAAAACGCATACAGTCGGTCAGACTCTCAATCTATAGTATGCGCATATAATGCACCATAAGCCTGCGATTCAGCCATTGCAAACTATGGTGTGATCCGAGAGGTCCGACTGGACGCGTTTTCTTTTCCAAAGAGACATTAACCAATGGTCGTGACATTGGTCCGACGTATACTTCAACGCCATGCTTCAACTCCAAGTAGTATATGCATATATGGAAAACATATTTGCATTGAGGGCGAGCAAACACGTACCACATTGGAATCCGCCTGATAGAACGTCGGTTTTCGGGTGACATATGAAGCCACAGAGGAAAGAGTGTCATTTGGCTTGTTCTCGATGGTGTTCTCCACTCCCTGTTGGATGATTGTAAAGATGGGTGACAGTAAAGTACAGCAGAGCACATACCTGACCAAAACGAGAGACTGACACGCTACCGCGTCGCCTGTCTCTGACCACCGTCGTAGTCATTGGCGACGCGACATTCGACTGCTGAGCCTCGACTTCGGCACGTTCATGCGCCCGTCGCTCGCTCTCCTCTTCTACGCGCAGGAAAATCTGCGACGACAGAGGCGAGCTGGTCAGTTGCGCCACGGCACAACGCGACAATCAACTTGCCTGCTCGATTCTCTCAGTCCTCTCACAAGCCATGGTGGGTCGCTATGGGTTGAGAGCGAAAGTACTTGTGCTCCAGACTGGAAGACCGACGGGAGGAAGAGGGGGAGAGGTTGTGGGTCGACGTGCGAAAGGGGGGGGTAGAAATATGAAGTGACATGATGAGAAGATGGAATCTCGTGCCCGCCTGTGGGCGCGCTGGGAGTGGCTGGAGCTTTGCCGCGCCGCCCCTGTCTCGCTCGTCAGAAGCTTCCGCTCGAAAGCACCCTCCATCTGGAAACAACCGACTCCGCAAAAATAGTCTCCTGGCGTCCAGCCCCGCGTTCGATCCCCGGTCAGAACATCCTCATTCTCGCCTTGGCCGTCCGCGACGTGTCTATCGCCATCTCCCTCCCTCCTCCGCCCCACCAGTCTCGACGTGCCACGACGTCGCTTCCCGCCTTCTTCGATAGCCGTCGTCTTCGCGAAATTTTGGCATTGGCATTACGATGTCGCTCCAATACCTCCCGCACGTTCTCTATTCTCTCGCCCTAACATCCATCAGCATGCACCTCCTCCGGCAGCGCAAGGATGCCGAGGCCGAGCGTGCACAGCTCGCCGCCCAGATCTCCATTCTCGACAGCACTGCGCACAAGATGCGCGCCGGCGAGATCATCCCCGAGCGTGAGCTCAACCGCCTCCTCAAGCTCGCCCAGAGTCAGCGACAGCTGGTCGAGGAGGCGGAGCCAGTGCAAACGGATCCCATCGGGTGGAGAGAGGTGCTCCTCGGGCGGAAGGCATCCGAGGTGGAAAGCGCAAAAGCCGCAGAGTGGGACCGAAGAGAGCTTGAGAGCGGTCAGTTGCACCGTTGGCTGCACCGTCTCCTTGACACCGCTGACCTTGCTATGATGGTTTCAGTACAGAAAGAGGTGCAGGCTTCCTCCTGATCCATCTTAGTATCGCCACTTCGCCGCTGTAAGACAGAGCGCTGTCTGGGATGCTTTTCTTGAAGGAGACTGTATCGTCGAATAGACCTCCGAGTCCTTACCCCGAGATACAGATGACGTCAATGTTGAGTTTCAGACGCATATAGCTACTAGATCATCCATGAGGTTTCACAATGTGCCGATGTGAAATAAATCCAAGTGAGTGTCATATACCTCTGCAGGAATCTGAGTTCTGATGTTGGAAATTTACGGTCGGGTTTGACATTGTAGTATACAACTTGTGCGGCTTGTCAGGATTACGTACAATAATGCAACTGTGAGCAATCCAGTGTACCAACTAGTAACGCTGCCTGTATGCGCGCCCCTTCGTTGCAATTGCACTGCTGCTCTCATCGATCACCTGACTCAGCTCTCGGGCTTTCGACACTCCCTACCACCACCCTTCCGCCACCTGAGAAGATGGGACCCATCGAGCTCCGCTACGGTGTTTCCACACAAGCCAGTAGCCGTTTCTGGCGGACCATTCCCTGGCTCTGTATTCAAACCGACATATCCAGGCGCCGAGGAACGCTCTGAAGGCAGCTCTAGACACATCTAGGATTGCTGAGTTCTTCTGTTCTATCGAGCTCCGATGCGTTGTCTGTATTCGTCATCTGTACACTGTTCCTGTGGAGTACAGGTAGGTTCTCCGCGGGTAATTTGACACCGCTGATGCCGCGAAATGCAGTATCGAACACCACTGAACAGTCGAATATATCAAAACATGCCATACATTCTCATGCCACTCTCACGTCCGTCATATGACAGGGCATGTGTGAACCACTGTTTTGGCGCACAATCACCGTCTCAATGGCCACAGAAGCTATGTAGCGGTGGACGAAACAGTAAAATACACCACGCTCTTTGATACAGAGTGGGACCTGGGTGCGCTCTTTCTCCTGACCGTTCAACCATGTCAATGGTTCTGCTCGGGGCCGACAAGTATAGTATAACACCGAAAGTGTGTATTCTTCTCGCCGGCACCAATCTTCTCGTCTATGTAGCACACAAAGCTGACGTGCAAGGTCAGTGCTAACCGTCAGTATGCGTGACACGTATTATTTTTGACATTTGACACACTTAACGGATCTAGGTTTCGTGTGGCACCAGATCACGAACTTTGGACGACAAAGAAGAAACCTATGATTACATTATGGCATTATGCGTTTTACCTCGCATGGTCCAGCCCATTCGGCTGTCAACTTTGCCTTGTTTTCAGGTGAGCGTTGAAAGCCGTTTTTATGCGCATTATTCCTGGACGTTGCGCCTCTAGAATATGACGCAGACATCCCGTTTGGTGTCTACACAAATAGAAGCGCAAGGTGGACTGGTGAGATGGAATATTGACTGTCTAAACTTGGATGACCTCTGCGCTTTACTTCCTTTCTGTGACCCATTTGTACAAACAAAGCGAGTACGCACCAGCTGCACAGAGAACTCAGATGTTATGACTGTATCATAACATCTCTGATCCTTTGCCGATATCCTCCTACTGTGATGTCCGATCGATACTACACATGAGATTATGTTGGTTTACATGGTGCACAGTGGGTATTCAACAAAGCTGATACAAAACACATCTGAGTGGTGCGTACGGAAACAAGAGAGCCAGACTAGAAAACAGCACGAGAAACGGTACACAAACACAAAACGCGAGCACCAGTACAAGTACAAGTACAGATTTACGAGATTAATAGTCCTACAGTTGCTTCGGTTTCGGTATCATCATCAAAGTCCCAAGCTTCGATATTGGGGTCAACATTGCTGTCTTTGTTGTTGTCTTGCGTCTCCTCATCGCCGCTGGCCACTGCTGTTTCTGTCTGTGCATCATACCCAGCGACAGTATCCTCTAGTGCTCCTTCCTCGCTCTGTACTGGCTCCGTATCGCCAACCGGGACCAAGACTGGGGAACCCCCTGCGGGCGGCGCATCAACGCTGACCCAGGATTCATTACTGCCCACCGAACTGGAACTCTTCCATCCACTGCCCGTATTTTCTCCTGTGCCGGCCTGCGTCTCCGAGTCGTGCGTCTCTGTCGCCATCCCGGTCTGCTGCTCTTCGTTCTCACCGGCTCCAGCGGGCTGCTGTCCGTCCGACACGGCGGTACCGGTTGCTCCTGCTGCGCTCCCGGCGGTACCTTCTACGCCGGCATGCGCATCAGCACGAGGGTCGGCTAGCTCTGCCTCGCTGGCTCGTGTGCCCGAGCCATCAGCCTCGTTCTGGCACGTAGCCTCGGTCCCATCGGGCGCTGCCTCGCCTCCCGCTCCGACGCGCGCATCGGCTGGGGTAGACGCGCCGCGCGTATTGTTCTCCGCCGCTGCTATGTTGCTTTTGCCGTCGGCACTGGGCTGCTCGCTCTCCTCAGAGGCAACTCCCGCCGTCTGCGCTGCATCACCGCTCTCCGTGACATGGCCATCCACCAAGGCATTGGTATTGGTCTCTACATTGGTACTGGCATCACCGTCTGGCGACATACTCGTCTCGTGCGTCTCAGTTCCAGCATCGGCACCAAGCGCATCGTCAACAGGATTTGCGATATCGACTGTAGGAGTGTTCAATGCGCCTGTACTGATACTACGTGCCGGCGTTTGCGATCCACTACTATCTCCCATTCCTCTTGGGTTTGTTTTTCCCTCCAGTGGGAGTCTCTGGTCGCGTCTCCCCTGTCTTTCCATCGCCCTCTCCTTTTCCAACCTCTCCTTCGCCTGTCTTGCCGCCTTCTCCCTCGCCCGCTTTTGTTTTGACGTTTCCTTTGGGACTGTTGGCTGCATCGGCATTGGCGCCAGGTGCTGGTCCTCCGGTTGGAGGCCCATTTCTAGCTGCGGTGCTGGCGGTTGCTGCTGCGGTATCGAGCCTGTCGATCTTGTTACTATTGGCGTTCTTATTAGCGGTACCGTTCGCTCCTCCGGAGTCCTTGACCTTGTCGTCTTTGGGCTTTGCCCCTGTTGGTCCTGATGGTGCGGGGCCTGTTCCTGCGTTGTAAATATGGACTTCAGTGGGGTTCTCAACGAAAGACGAGTAGACATTGACTCGGATTGACCTGGAGACTTAGCAGACGCCACCGCCGCATCCTTTTGCTTCTCTGTATCAGCAGCCGAGGCTGAAGCCGACACCGAAGCGGGCGGAGCAGCGGGAGTGGTGGCAGACGCAGGCGGGGGTGCAGTGGCCGAGAGTTCGGGCCCAAGGACCGCGTTAACAGCAGTCTCAGACGAGACCACCGACGCAGCAGCGAAGCTGAGCCGTCTAGGCGATATCGCGAGCTCATGAGAAGCCGGAATCTTGCCACTCTTTGAAGGACTGGTGAAAGGAGATGCGTTGGTGACGTCTGCCCGGGGGGTTAAGGAAGGGGAAGGAGGGCCACCTCTGAGGCCAAAAACCTCCTTGATAACATTGTGCATGTCTTCATCCTCGACCGTGACCGGTCCAGGACTGATCAGTCCACTTCCCTCTGGCTTCCCTCGTGCCATCTCACGAGCTCTCGCAATGAGAAGGACAGTCTCGAGGCCAAGGTGACGACCCTCCTGTAGGGACAACGGCTCTGGTCGTACGGTCATAGCAATGTACGAAGGAATCAACAATCGCTTGTCGAGCTCGTACGCCTGGTAGAGCTCAATTTTCCGCACAGCGGGAATCACAAACTTCTCCAGCTCACGACAGCAGAGCTTCTTGACCTCAGCAAATCGCCAGTCAAAGGCTAGCTTGAGGATAGTGGACCAGTCATCTACAGTTGCGTCGTATATTGAATATTTTCTGCGAACCAAGTTATGATAAGAGCCACGTGCCGCAGCGATATCACTTACGGATTGTAGAACACCCAAAGAAATCGCGCAAAGTCCTCGGCTTGGACGTCGTCGAGCGTGAAGGGACTCGCATCCGAAGCACCCTTTGGACCCTGGCCAGGAGGTGCAGCCGCCGAGAATTTTTCACGAAACCATGCCGACTCTCGTTCAAAGAAGTAACGATGTACACGAAACAACTGGTTCTCCACCTGGATCGTCGTGATGAGCAGACGACAGCGAACCAGGGACGTCGCACGATACGCACCAGGAAGTGAGCGTCCCCGCCGTTCAGATAGTATTGAGGATGACGCTTAACCTTTTCAAGAAGAGTATCTACAGAATGATGATAACTGTGGGCCATGGCGAGGAGGGGGAGGAAATGAAGTCGTGATCGTGAAAGGGCTGCGCCAAGGTTTTAGAGGGTGGAAGTCCGCCCTCTTTACCGTCGGACATTTGCTTACACGTGTTGTCCTCATGGTGGGATCCAAGAAGATGCAATTGAGCAAAACAGCGACACGTTGCGGGTCTGGAGACCGGCACTCTGCGATTATTACGTACACAATAGGGGTGTTATTTGGCCAACAGACAGGTTTGTTTGTCGTCAATCCGAGCGGGGTCAACAGTGCTAGTCGTATACTCGCGGCTCTTCGTAGTGGACTGTAGCTCTGACATACATTGACCACATCGGACTTGACAAATGTGTCAAGACATCGGCATGCATAATTTTCGATCTGCGAGCGTGAGGCATTGGCGCTGCTCAATTAGGCTGGTTGACATGTCGAAGCTAGCTTCGTGGTGATTTCGAAGGCTGCGGTAAGTATCTCTATCAGACAAGTGGGCTAGGGCTTACTGCGTTCACATTACTCGTGAAGAGTCCCGCAGACATTAGGTTATTTCCTCGGTGAGCCGAGATTCCGATATCAAGATAAGTACCGTCAGTCCGGCACCGCAATGTAACAAGAGTTTCTACTCTACTGCACGCCCAGCGTTTGCAAACTGGTATTGACTGGACGTACCCATCTCACACTACTCTCGCAGCAACATCTCCCTCCAGTGCCTACCCCTTGAATGTCCAGGGTAGAGATGGGACCTCACATTCTTCAGTCCCCAAACTGAAGCCGCTCGACAGTTCAAAATTGGTACCAGGCCAGACATTCCACATGTCATTGTACGTACATGGTCAAATGTCAAATCTGGGAGACGCTACTTTCTCAGCTACTCCGTTTGACACCTGGCTATCGTGCATCGAGCCGGCTAGAGTTTCACTTCAAGTTTTCTAGCTAGTAATAGCTATAGTTTAGCCAACTCGTCTCTCGAACTTGCATATGACCTCCGAAAAATATCTCTTCATGATTACGTCATCCACATTGCTGTCGTGCTGGAACCGAATCTCAAATTGATCCGTGATACCGCTAATTCGCCTGCAGGCTGGTGGAGTCTACATTCAAAGCACTCACTCTGTGTACCCGGGATCAATGTGGAAGTTCGAATGCTGTGTGACGAACCAGTGTCCTCGACGGGGAACGCAAGCAGTTACACTGCTTCAAAGCGATGTGCACAGCTGTGAACAGTTCTACAAAACCTGCAAAATCATCATCAATCAGGATCCGCCGTTTTCAACCCGCTCATGCGTTAGTCTAGTCGCCAGTTCACTGCCACGGAAGCGCCTATCTATCGCGGTATCCGACAAGTATCCGAAAGTTGGTGCTATTCACTCACCGCCCAACCAAGTTTATAAAGTGGAAACCACTTCCAATCTATTTTCTCTCAAGATCCTATGGCTACCCCTGAGCAGACAACGGAAAAAGACCACGAAATTCCCGAGTCGTCTCGCTCGCGTATCGCACGCTATGATGAATAGTGGGTACATTGTCGGTTTTGTGCATCACATTGTCACTCAATGCCGACTCTTGAATTGGAAGCTTTGATCAGTGAGTTGATCAATGATTCAAGTCGCTACTAGGTTGACGTTTTTCGACTTGATATTCTAGACGAACGTTTTCCACCGTTTACAGGAAGACGAACAAACCAACAAGGAAGCTCAATCATAAGAGACCAGTTCTCATCGTTCGACGAATTATTGATGCTAAAGGGCAACATGTATCGACGGAAATTGATATCAAGAGTCCACTATTATGTGAAGTATTAATCTCCATCCACAAAGATGTTGATGGGCTAGAACTCATGCGAAGCGAGCCAACGGTAAGTCTTTACATCTCTGTCTAGCTGTTGGGACAATATCACTCATAATGTAGTGTGACCCTCACTTGCTTTTCTTTTCCTATGAAGGCCTCATGGACAGGCTACAACAGGAGAAGGAAAAGGATGTCCGAGACGAGGTCCTCATCTCGGATATTAACGTTGCTCTGCAGTACATATACGAAGATCATGCAGGCAACTTCGCAGATCTCAAGAGTTTGGTAGACGATCAATCCATTACGTTCGATCTCCTTTGGGCACTCTTCCGTTCGAATACACCTCTCTACAACTACCACCAATATACAGAGCAACATCGGATCTTGAAAGCACAGAACTACATGATACGACAACGAGAAGACCGCTCTGTCTATGCTGATGTCATTTGCGATGTCATCGTGGACGATGGGAACACATTTGGGATCGCGCAGGAGCATATCGAGATAGACGCATTCAGAGGTTCAAGGAAGATCTATGAGCTACCGGTATTTCCGCTCAAGTATTTTCGCGATAGCACTGCCCTTCGTGAGCGTGCTATTCGGCGAGGTCGCAAATTTGCTTGCATGCAGAAACATACATACGGCGAGATATCTGGCCCGGCGCTGCGTGAGATCACCACCCCGCAGGACAAGATCCAATTCCAGAAATTCAACGTATGTCTTACCTCGATTTCATGTTATAGCTCATGTATCCGACCCTGAACAGACATATGGACGAGTCATGATCGACCCTGCCGGATTCCGCGTTTTCCAACCAAACTGCACATTCAATCTCACTGTATATAGGCGAGTTAGCCGAGAGGAGCTCACCGACGAACAGCTCATGATCTGTACTCCAATTGTACTCGGATTTTGTTTTGGGGTAAAGGAGTGGGGTGAGATACAGCTCCAACCTCTTTTGCTTCCACTGATGATTAATTATCGTGTGTGAGTTCAGGTGGCTTTGCATTGGACCGCGTCCAAGACATTGTATGGTCTGATGAATCGTTCAAGTCGCTTGTCCTTGGCCCTAAGCAGAAGGACTTAATCCATGCACTCGTAAAGCAGCATGAATCCCGTGCTTCACAATTCGATGATGTTGTTCAGGGCAAGGGCAAGGGACTCGTAGGTCTACTAGCGGGTTCGCCTGGGTGTGGAAAAACACTTACTGCCGAAGCGGTTGCAGAGGTACGATAATTACTGCCCCCTCCTACGCAGCCCTCATCTCCGCCTTTTGCCAGATCACAAGACGCCCCTTGTACTGCATCTCTGCCGGTGAGCTAGGCACGGATGCAGAGTCTGTTGACAAGGCGCTTATTCAGATACTGGAGCTCGCACATACATGGAAGGCCGTCCTGCTTCTCGACGAAGCAGATGTGTTCCTTTATAAAAGGAGCAGCGGCGATGTCGTGCGGAATGCACTTGTGTCAATATTCTTACGACAGCTGGAATATTATCAGGGGATCCTGTTCCTCACAACTAACATGATCTCTCAGTGCGATCAAGCGTTCGAAAGTACGTCTTGGAAGTACCAAAAAGTGGATTGTACTGATTCCGTGTATCAGGCCGAATACATTTCACTGTGCACTACCCTCAGCTCAACGAAGCCTCGCGCAGGGAAATCTGGCGCATCTTCATAACCAAGACCTCAGGTGCCGGCAGGATTAGTGATGCGGAAATAGACGAGCTTGCAAAACAAACGATGAATGGACGTCAGGTAAATCTATGATTATCGCATATGAATATGTCTCATGCAGCATGGTATTGGACAGATCAAGAATGCCATTAGCACCGCACAGTCTATCGCGCTCGATCAGAATGCGCCCCTCTCTGTGGAGCACATACATACAGTGCTTGAAGTTGCGAGAGACTGGACCAAGGCAAGAGAAGAGACGAGCATGACCGAGGACGTTGGAACCTTGATATAATACCTTTCTCTAGCAGAGTCACATATGTTATTCCTTGTGTGTGCGTGCGGCAGGAAAATACACGTCGTGATGAACATCAAATAGACCCAGCTGAGTTTAATGCCAAAGCTTCATCACCGTAATTTTGCCTCAGGACATCCAATGTTTATCAGTAAATGTAAGGTTCCACTGTGCGGATGTAAGAAGCAAGAAGCATCATATTTGAATAATTGGCACTCACGATCACAGTCGTCATCGAAATCGAATTTTTCCAATCTGCGGTCCAAGCATCCTATGCCCAATTGGCCCGGAATCTCCGTACTGTCATACGACTTGCCCCATCCCCCAAGATCACTTTCATCGTCCAAATAGCACCCGATCGGAGGAGAGAACTCCCCTTGTAGCCCGACAAAAGTGCGCCCAATAGTGGAAAACTCTACGTCATGTTCGAGAGGTTGGCTCTCTTTCTTTCTGATTTCACTGCCAATAAGGACGTGTGCGTTGGAGGCTTCATCACTTCCCTCGTTCCTGCTGGGAAAATAGTGAACTTGGCGATTCATTGCGGTCTCAGGGAGGAAGATTGGCTTCCGCGGAACCAGGACAGCATCCTCATCCTCCTGATCTTCTATCGCTGATTTGAATAGCGGAACACGATGGACTCGCAACAATCTGTCACTGCATGAAATATAGAGCTCGTTTGCCGCCCAAGTCACAGTATATGGTAGTTTCGTCACAGACAAGGACTCCTTGTTACCTAGCTTGACCCTGACTCGGTGAATGAGGGTAGGGGGCGAACGGCTCGTTTTTCGACTCGAGAGGCGATAGGTGGAAACCAGAACAGCAATGTCAAGCCCTTGTCGGTTCTGAGTGCCTTTCTTCTGCACTGGTTGTTGCCCTTCGAGAGCAGCAATATGCAAGAATCGGCCACATGCGGAAAACCGGCACTTCATGAAGATGTGCCGGGCTGTGATCGAGCTCAGATTAGAAGCAGGATGAAACTCGAGTTACGAATGCAACATACTGTGTGAGGTCGATGCTCGCAATTTACGCACGAAGTATGTTTTATCCAAGAAGTCAACGAAAAGTACATCTCCGCCACCGAGTGGCCAAACGACAAGTGGCACAGTTGGATGAATTGCAGGAGGCGAGTCATAGACCTTGCATCGGATGGGTCGTGTCAGACAGAATAGTTTGGTGTGAGGGAAAGCCCCAGTGTCGAATATAGCTAAGGTTGCCTGTGATTCCCCAGGAGAACTTCTGCCCGTGTGTTTAGGTACGAAAATTTGATTGCCATCTTCGTCCGAGAAGTATGCAACATCCCAATCATCACCGTCTTCGTTGCGTGCCTTTCCATAACCGAATGCAGATCCTGGCACCTCACCTTGATCCGAATCGCTCACCTCTATGTCGTCTTCATGATCGGACGCAACATCCGTATCACTAGTATCGGTGTCGCTGGAGTCTGAGTCCATATCGCGAAAGTGGTCTGCCCATGGAGTGATCATATCGTCGTCAAACACAAAATCCTCGGAAAAGACGGTGCTGCTGTCACTCCAACTTTCGTATCCATCGTCATCCGATTCTTCTGCGTCACTTTCGGATTCAGACGTCGTGGATGAACGACCATCTGATGATTCAGAGTCGGAATCGGATCCTTCGTCATCGACTGCGGTCGATCCACCACTGCTGGGGGTATGGCTGGTGTCCATTGGTGCAACAGGCTCCGAGTCCTCCACGGACAAATCCTTCGTCCGCATCCTTGTTCTCGAGGCAATGACGACATGTTTCCCACGACGACAAAACTCTTCCACGTAAGAAGACTTCTGCGTGTGTAGGGCGACCTGAGGGAGACTGACGAAATCCCCTGCTGTATCTATAGCGAATAGCTGGGTCCCTATGCGAAGCGTCTTGCAATCGGAACTAAAGGCCGCTGGTGCAGCCTTGCCTGTTTGTAGGGGTAAATGAATCGTTTTGCCGACATATAAAGGCCAGCCGCAAAGTTCAGATGACAATTGAATCTCTTGGGTCCTCTTCCTCACCGGAAGCTGTCGGGAACTCAAGCTCCATGTGTCGCACACAAACTGTAGGGAATCTCCCTGGGATTTTCTATCCATTTCGATCTCTATTCAGTGGCTCTACGTGCAGCAAAATGCAAGTGACCACTTACCGCGCTCGCAGTGTCATAATTACGCTCCCGTCTTCTCCAATGCCATCAAAGAAGCGTCCAAGACTCGATTCAAGTCCATCGTCCTGATCTACCTGAAAAACAAAGCTAGAGTATTGACTGTTCAATCGCGACAGGAAGTTGGACTGTCCAAGGGCTCCAAACCAGATGCGGTCTAATTGGCCCATGTAAGGCAGAATGGCACATCTTGGATTCGCTCTATGACAATTCCCGCACGCAAGAAAATATTTCCACTCGTGCAAGAAGCATCGATAATTACGCCAAAGCTTGATACCAATCTCTGTTTCCCGGGAGAACCATGACGGGAAGACACGTCGCAGGAAACGACAACGCTCGTCGCTGGTAGTGACCCGAAAGACGCAGAATTGTAGCTCGACCCATAGGCTCTGAACCTGAATGCAGGTTTGGAAGTTAGAGGATGTGATAAAGGAGTTGAGACGTTGAAGGACATCTTTCTTGTGCAGCTCGGAGATGTCGTCGAGATGTTTGTCCCAATACTTTGCCGCGTAAACGAGAAAATGTTGATTTTCTACAGGATTTCCGACAGCATCCACCCAGCGGCCATTCTCCCTGGTCAGTAATTTTGCATATTTAGTCTGACACAAGTAGACCAGGCATGCGTCCATAGCGATATCGGCACTAATGCGCAAATCGCTCCCCGGATCTCCAACTTCCACAAGGACATCCGGATGCTCAACGAGAAAGTCTCGAAGAGTTGAATGAAAAAGACGACAAGTGTAGTCTTCCTGCGCGTCACCGATCTGGGGCCCTTCGACTTTCGTCATTTCAATCAGAGGTTGGGCGACTTCATGCAACTGCTTGAGGAAAGGTTTGTCCTCAGGATTCAAGTACCCGGTAGAGTTGCTTTTCAAGCACCATATCGCCTCCTGCAATTCGGAAAATCGTAGCGGTCGACGAGCGAACACAATCAAGGCGAATAACTTGCTGTAAAATATCGCAGTGAACAAACTTAAAAAAAGCGAACGTCACAAATGCATACCAAGCAAGCGGACGTAGAGTCTTCTTGAGACGCTTAAAGAATAACGTGTAGTAGTCAAGCAAAGTCGACGGAAGTCCTCTATCCACAAATTGCTTCATTTCTCTTAAACTTGTCGGAGAATTTTGAAGCTCGCTTATCATCAAGCTCGCCCAGAGGAAGCTGCATTCCGCTCGTTGGTGCAAGCTGCGTAAGAACCTCTCCTGGTCAAGTGGTTCTAGCTCCTCTGCCTCGGGTATGGCTTTCGATAGGAAGAAAGCTATATCCTGTTTCACATGGATACTGATATCGATAGTAGGGTATCCGTCAAGCTCCCTTTTTATAAGTGTACGGGGCTGGCTGCTGCACCATAAGCGAACCTTGCTGGGAAAGTCGTTCGTAAGTTGGATTAGAAAGTGGAGTACATCCGCGATATCGCGCCATCGCTCTCCAGTAGTTTCTTCGTCGAGACCGTCGAGTAAAAAATACACCCTCTCTTGGTTCTTGATGAGGACGCGGATGATGTTCTGAACATTCGCGAGAACGGATGGACTCGATTGTGCCACATCGCACAGCTCCGGCGGGACGTCGTGCATGTCTGTCCAGTATTTACATAGTAATTGGAGCGCAAGCATTCGCAGTATCTCGTATGGCTTGTACTGCTGAGCGAAGTCACAGAAATGGAACGCTACCGTGTCCAACCTGGAGCTGACAGTCGAACACAGGGTAGACTTCCCTGATCCTGGTGGACCGTGAAGCCACAAGACCGGGGGAGAAGCTTCTCCTGTCCACGCGACGAAGTCAGGATGTTCGAGCAACCATTGACAAGTACCAGGAATATGGTTCTTCAGGAATTTGTCCCGCCGCAGGAAATTCGGGGCATTCGTATCCAGAGACGAAAGTTTTGAGCAAAGATTGTTGAATCGTTCATCTGGATGGCCAAGATGAAATACAGGCATAATGGATTCCCAGTGTACACTTACTAGGCGCTTCTCGTCGCCGTTCTTCGCGGAATAGACGTTGGTCTCTGCGTTCTTCCTCTGCTCTACGCATCTCATCTGCAGCTTCCCGTCGGGCAATAGCGGCCTCCTCATGCTCCCCTCTCAACTCGATCGCTTGTAGAGTCCCGGCACGCTTGCCAATCTCCTGAGCATCATGCTGCATATCGGCAAGAATGGACTCAAGCTTCTTTGTGCTAAAAGATGCAACCGTTTTCAAAAGAGCGAAGCCTATGGAGCAACATCAGCACACAAAAGAGACGATAGGGGATACTGGCGAACCGCAATTGTCGCATTCTTTGTCAACTCTATGCCAGAACCGTATGATGTTAACATATGAACGACAGAGAAGATTTTGCATCTTCTCATCCTTGCCGTATAAGTTTTCGTGGTCAGTAATTAGCTCTAAGTGATCTCTTAACGATCGTAGCTCATTCTTAATTGTTTCGAAGAGGTTGGAAAACCTGGAAAGCCCCTGGTAACTTCATTTAACCGATTTCACTTGCTACAATTTTCCCAAAGAGCACCTACATCGATTATCACCTTTAAAGCTCCCCAGATGATCGCTGTAGGCATTGGATCCGCCGAAACTAGTAAAGTCCTATCAAATAGAGGGCAAAATACAATTTAAATCTGCCCACCTAAATTACTTATGATAGCATCGAAATCATTTAGGACGGCTATCACAGGATCTACGTATTTGCGAATGATACGCCTCGACGCCTGCATAGAATGCTTCTTCTCTGCAGTTATGATCGCCTCGTTGACGGCCGAAGCGGGTGAGCTATCCGAATTCTCCTGGATTGCACGAGCACAGTTCATGAGGAACCGACGTTGCTTCTTTTTGGGAGGCAAATGAGCAACATATTCCTCCCATGCTCGCTGGAAAGGCGTTTTCCTGCATGACTTGTAAGTTATATTCCGAGCCAGAAAGTCGCGACGTTACTTACCCCGCGCCAGCCTCAGTGGTGGGACTGTCCATCTTTGACGAGCTGTGCAGCGCTCATTATTCGTGACCGTGTGTCGCCCATGGCCACATAAGCGGTGCATGGTAAGCGTCAGATCAAGCATTAGCAATACTCGGAAATCAGCCTGAGTGCTAGCGTACGGGTCGGCGCTTATATCAGAGTCAAGCGCGTGAGTGCGATGCAGTGGCTGCAGGCAAGATGCACAGGGTCTCAGGCTGTTATAGGATATACTACGGTTTTGAGACGAGGCAGCAGAAAGATCTGCGCACAGATGCTACACAAAAAATAGACAATTAAGAGATTTGTATCGAGTCAAGTAATACGAAATTCGACACCCTCGAAAGAGACACATCATATATGGTAGTATGCAGACGTCGTTTAGTATAAAGCACCGCCACGCAACATAGGCCTTTGTATGTGATCAAGGGCCGCGTATTAATATCGATGACTGCGTAAACAATCTTCACGACCTAGGTTAGCTTCAAGCCGAAAACATCCGCGACGAGGCGGGTGGTGCCAGGGACATTTGTAAGCGCCTTGCCAGTATTGGGAGTACCAGAGCGGTTAGAAGTATGTTCGGCAGGACCTTTTCCAAACTCCCAGCGGGGGCGAGAGATGCGAGGTGATGGTCTCTTATCCGGTGGGCCCCGCCTAATCGCCGAAGCAGAGAGCAGCTGGTACGGCCCTCGAGTTCTGGTGCTACAGGACCGGATCTGCTCACGAATCTGCGCAATGCGGATGGCAGTCTCCAAACCAAGCCGGCTCGCCTCGGGGATTGTCAATGGCTCTCGTCGTTCGCACAACGTCGTGTAGGCACCGATCGTCCATTCCCCATGTATGCGATATTTACGCGAGAGGATGATCTTGTCGACCGGGTCCATGCTTAGTGCCTGCAATTTCCGAATGGCCAGCTTGCGAACGTCACTGAAGTCCCACATTGTAGACAAGTTTAAAATCGATGTCCATTCGTCGATTGTATGTGCCTTGTACGTCCCGTATACGCTGCCGTTAGGGTATCATGGACTGACCCCAAGGTGTCCGAGGAGAAGAGACGTACGACGGATACAAGGTTCCTAAAAACCGCTCGATATCCACGCACGAAAGGCCCAAAAGATGTAGAGGGTTTTCATCTGCTGAGCCCTCGGCAGCCTTTCCTGCAGGCTGTGGAATAGTGAAGAGCATCTTGAAGAGAGGCGAGTGTCTGCTAAAAGTTGATCGAAATACTCTGAACAATGTGTTCTCAGCCTAGGTCACACACTATTTAGTGCTACGTGTGCTTACATGCTAGAGGGAAACTTACTAGGATTACGAGATTTCCATCATCGAAGTAAAAGTCTGGATGGTGTACTGGACCTAGATTCCAGCCATTTCGGCAACACTGTATTCACGCGCGGGGTACTGAAATAAAATGAAGACTGACCGCGCTTTATTTAAGGGTACGTTACCAGTATACATGCGCCGAGAGTTTACAACAGGCCACTATCACATGCTGGCTGTACACCAGCAGTATATGAACTACACAAGGATCCTGTGAGGTGTACAAGTGAATATCTGTAAACATATGGATCAGAAACGTCAGCTACGGGCGGGAAAGGCCGGATACTGAATGGTAGGTATTGATACGTACCAGTTTCCTCTGCCAAATGATACAGACTTCCCGAGCGAATACATCTCAAAATTAGATCCGAAAAGCTACAGGTTTGCCACACGAGGTTTCCTCTCCTCAAAAACCCGTTCAAATTCTTCAAACGTCGGACGACCTAGGATAGCGAACATAACATGTGCGAAGGATGTCTTGAATCGCGCTCCCTCCTCGAGTAGTAGATCAGCCCATATGTTCGCCACGAGGTTGATGTTGTTTCTAAACACCCCCGTCCCAAAGCTGCCCAGGACCACATTCCGTACACCCTGTTTCTCAAACAGGAACAAGATCCGCGCCATACGCTCCTTCATCACCGCGCCAATCCTTTCCTCCACACCCGATGCGTCACGGTGGCCCGTCAACGTCTGGCGGACTTGACCCGCATTGACGGCTGCACTAGTGAGCACGTCGATTTCCATCGGTTCAACCCATTCGCCGCTGTCGGCGCGGAACACCACAACGCCGGGGGAGTAAACCATCGCGTGAGAGTAGTACCCGTGCTTGGTATCGCTGTTGTGGACGCTGTAAAACGTCTGTGCTAGCGGGGTCATGAGGGTCGCGTAGAGCGTCGACGATCGTGCAATAGATTCTTCTTGTGCCTGAGCACCACTCTTGAAGCCGCCCCCAGGCTTCACTGCCGAGGCGAAGTTGAGGGCGCCGATTTTGGACGCCTGATTAGCCTGCAGCATGGTGGCTAAGAGCCGACCGCCCTCCAGCGTGGAAACCTCGAGGAGTGCAACCTCAGTACTAGCGGGATTGCCTGGCGCAGGGGTGGAAAACCAGGCAGACAAGAGCGAGTCCGGCGCATAATACTGGGTGTTTCTCTGGGATAGCGTTAATCCCGCACTAAGGTCGTGCATCGTGCCATTCAGGACGTAGTGTCCGCAATCAATAGCTTCCAACGTCTCCTTGGCTATCCCCCGCAGCTGCTCACGCTTCGCATCATGCCTCGGGCCAAATCCGAGCTAGAAGGAGTTGCCATTCGAACGATATACAGAAGAAACAGTACAGTCAAGACTCACCCGATTTCCTCGAGATTTCATGTTCAGACACCCTCCAACGAACCACGAACAAGTCGTATTAATCTTATGCAGACCAATGAGGTGCGGCCTCTGGGGGCGCAGAAAGCAAGGAAGAGGCCAGTAACAAGTCAATTTGAAAGGCCCGGAGCAGGGCCAGTATCAGCCTAATGATTACGCAATAGTCAGCTTGCAGGGCATTTGCCCATTGCCTGGTGTTGTCCTCGAGCACAACATCGCAATCTGAGGCAACGGAAACGAGCTGCGCGCTGGATGTTATGGTTACCCAACTGACTTACCTGCAAGGTGCCAACCACAACAAGAATGATCCGATGCTCTCAGCCGTGGAGTCTGGGGAGTGCAACGTTTCTAAGTATCAGGGTCTCTCGGACTGGAGCAATTGGGTTAGACACAAGCATATATGTGTGGCCAGTTGCAATTCGAAGTCGAAGCGTTCACCACGGGCGCCTTTCATTTATCTACCAATTTGAAGTCTCATTTAGCCGACATTGCTCATCAACAGGATGTAACATGACGTATTGTAACAAACTACACTACACAGTACATTTTGGTCACAACACAATCTGTGCTTACACAATCTGTGCTTGAAGCGAAACACACGAGAGTCAACAGCGCCCTACCACCGGCCGCAAGTGAACGAGATTGCAATCAGAGGAAGAGATCCAAACCCAAGTTAGAAGTCGAAATCTCCACACGGCCAACCTCCGTCTCGCGCTCAGAAGGGATCCATTTGACGTCACCCTTCACCAGTGAGCCCGCGATCGTGTTCGTCCGCACAGTACGCTGGCGCTGGTGCCCAGCGGGATCTTCGACACTGTTATCCGCATGCACGCTAGGGCGGAAGAAGCGTGAAGACGACAGCGCAAAGCTGCCTTCGTATGTCTTGTGCAATGTCGCACGGGCAGGCGAATTCGACGTGTGTGCCTTCATGTTTAACGTGTGGTCGACAGGCGCCTCGAGGAACGCGACGTTCATAGGGCTGTTCGACGTGTGGATGTCGACGTCGAACGTGCCGCCCATACTGTTGTCAGCGATGGAAAACAGGCTGATATTGGTGGCGATGGGACTATAGACGGATCATGGTGTCAAACGAGCTAATACAAAGACGGCAATCGAAAGCGCATACCCGTTGGACGTGTGCAGAGACAACTCGGTGTGGGTGTCGTCGGCAGCATTGAACAGACCGATATCCGTTTTGATGGGGGCGTTCGATGTGTGCAGTAACAACGCCTTCGACGCATTGAATGATCCATGGATAGGTCCATTGGATGTGTGCACGTCGACAACTTCAGCAAACAGCGTCTATGAGACATGTGAGGTTATTTTTAATGCACATTCGGGAACAGCACACCTCAACGTGAATGGGCGCATTGGCGCCCCGCAGGATCAACTTATCAAAGAAGATGGTATCCTTAATGTCGGCAACATAATGAACGAACTGACTCATATCGGTGGCTAGCTTCTTGATCGAAGTTGCCGTGCTGCTGCTGGACGATGCTGGTAAACGAACAAACACTTGGAATCTGATCTGACGGCGTGAATCGTGATGACCAGACCAGTGAAGGGGAGCCTGAAATTCTCCTCAGTGCATGCCCCCAAACGACAGAAATAGGTACTCACGAAAATGCCAACGCCGTTGTGTCCATCCTCCGGCTGTAGAGTGCAGACCGAGGTAAGGCCAAGGAAGTCGTCGATGTCATTGTAGTGCCCAACAATATCTACTTGCGCCATATCGGATCCCTCTTTGCCAGTGTCCGAAATCTCGATCGAGCCGTGTGCGAAGGCAGCATGGCCGCGCGATAAGAAGAACAAGATATCAGAGGACAGAGGGAGCTCGAAGGATGTCTCAGCGGAATGAGCGAACTGGTAGTGTTGGCGTGGCGGTCCATGTGTCCACGATGCAGTCTCAACGCAGGACTCTGGAGTTTCAACGAGAAGCGGCATAGAGGTCTTACGGTCTTTTCCGAACCAATGATTGAGCTAGTGGGGATGGCCGTGAGCTAATCAGGTCAGCGTATCGCAAGACAATATGCTCACTATATGCGTGCTCCCTCGGATTGCGTGGGTCGTGAGGGGAGGCAGAAAGAAGAATAGGAGTCCTGCAAGAACGAAGGCGTGCAAGAACCGAACCTTAGCCCGTCTGCGGGGACGTTGGTCAACGACTGGAACTATGTGTTGAACGCTGTAGGTCGCCTGATAGTCTGGATATGGGTTGAGAAGAGGCGCTGATCCTACTTTCTCAACATCCGCGCTGGGAGCTGCGTGGGTTGGGGTCTGCTCTGGGAAGGCCATGCTGTACAAAGTGACGGTGAGCAAGTTGGCCGATCCGGTCCGCCTATAAGTACTGGTGGAGGATGAGGAGCGCAGTTGCCATCGGTATTCGCACGCGCGGGTAGCAGTACCCGGACTTGCCTAGAAATCGCGCATGTTCCCTGCACGTTCCTGAGTCGATAGACTGCGTGCTGCGGGACCGGTCCCTTGACAGTACCCGCGCTACAGGAAGAGGAATAGGTTTTGATGGACGTCATCCTGCGTGCAAGAATCGTATGGTACTTAACCCGCTGTTTCGCAAAGCCAGCGCGGGGCCCAGACCTTATAAAATGAGCATTCACTCACTAGATATGGGTTCATTCTGCCTAGACGGCCATGTGGACGGATGCTGCGGACTGCGTCTCCAGTCGTAACAGCAACTTGACTACTGCGCATTGTAAAATCGTACAATGGACCTATCGAGCGCTCAATACGGCGCTCCCGTCGAATGCTGGTTTCGGTGCCTCTACGTCGGAGATTACATTATGCACCCAGAAAGCTCGGCGAGAGGAAAGACATGGAAAGTTCAAGAGCGTAGAAATTCGGCTACGGCGGCAAGCATAATCTCGGCTGTCTCAGAGGCCACTACAGCAGATCGATGAGCGTGCCATAAACCGAAACAAACGTTCTCGGTGCGACGCCAATTTGAATCGTACGAGTGGACAGAATGAGAGAGGGCAACATGAGATGCGCACCGAGATACTTATTGCAAATATTTAAATGCGGAAACAAGATAGCTTAGTAAATAAGTTCTGCTAAATTTCTACTCCTCCTAAGCTGTCTCCACAAACCAAAATTAGTGCCATCGGCACACTCCAGCGTCTAACGCGTCAACATCACTTTCCAGTCGCTATCACTGGTCCATGCAAAGTCTCTTCCGCTCCGCAAAGTCCTTCCGGCCCCTCTTTCTTCGTCCAACTCCATCTCTCCACCGCCAAGGCGTCGAGTCATTAGAATCATTCCAGCCGCTGTATGAACGCAAGCCCCCATGGTGGACGCGCTGGACCTACTTGCTGGTAGGCGCAGACCTTGTCGTGACGTTCGTCTTGCTCTGCTCACTATTGTTCCTCAAGTCTGTCTAATGGGTTTCAATCAGATTCTCGGCATGTGAATTGACTTGGAATCACTGGTCACGCTGGGAGCCATTGTCGGAGGCGTCGAAATCGCCCTCTCCGGCCACGGTTGCAACGAATGCGAGTGCCTTGGATGCAGATACCAAGGAGACGAAGGGCCACTACGCTTTGCGTCCATGGTGGCAGAGAGCACCCTTTGCTGGCGGGCAATTTTTTCTCGGTGTCGCGGTCGGCGTGCTAATTCTTGTCAGTCGCTCGCGTGTCATCCGCAAACTGTACATCCTTCCGCCTTCGAACCAGTCTGGAGCTTTACCTTCCCAAGGATCCTCGGCTGTTGTATCCTCCCACGATCGTCGTGTCCTGATTCAATCCGTGCACCACTTCCGCAACCAAGGCAAGCTGTTCCCAATGCAAGATTGCGCACTAGAGAGAGGCCATGACGACGCTGAAATCATCCTCCGGATTAACAATGTCAGAGGTCAACATTGGTTTGGGCTACAAAACTCTACTGTGAATGGCCAAACGCTGCCAGTATGGCAAGCGCGGGACGAGATTTTCAAGACCTGGTATGGCGACGAGCAGGGCAAGAAGATGAGGATGGAGGAGCGGTGGAAGAGTGGGCCGGTGCTGAATAAAGACACATAGATGGGCGAGAGTGGTGAGTCGGCGTCCGCTATATACCCGTGTCCATCTAGGCTGTAGTATTGAGATCTTGAGCTATAGTATTGTCGTTAGAGGTGCCTGTCAGATAACATGTCCTCGTTCCGCGAGGTCCTCTTCAGCTTAAAAATTGTTCATACTGTGTGCATGTCGCAGTTCAGCTATGCAACGTTACAAGTTTGTCCATCTGCGTCGTTTTCTGAGTGCAATTGATGAGTTGCAGTATTGGATACGGCTTAGCGTATCGTTCGCGTCGCCGTGTAGTTGCGCGGGGATATCGCGGTCTCGTGATCGGCCTCGATATGGTATCAAAAATCAGTCGATCTCTTCAGTCTCTCTTGATTTTGTCTGTAGTAGCGACTCCAAAGATTCCTCGTTGCTTTCATCCTGAACAAGGTATGCTCAACAAGCATTTATCTCTTCTTGCACTCACCCTCACGTCAGGAACAGGCATAGGCGCGAGCGCGGGACTAATAGACCGAGTCACTACTTGATAGAAGGCGCATCGCGGTCTGTGACTCGTCCGATCACTTATATAGAGCCGTGTCGACAGACACATCTCTCCATCATCCACCATGTCCACCGTATACGTAGACGAGTCTTCCGGCTCTGACGAGATTGGCAAGGGTACTCAGGAAACGCCTTATCAGTCTCTCGCATTTGCGCTCTTCACCCATGGGTCAGCGCAGGTCTTGATTCGCAAAGATCCTACCGGATCGTATGAGGAGCCGACGCAGTCTGCGCTCAAGAAGGCTAAAAAGGGCGCAGATGGCCTCGAGAAGAAACGAAAGAAAGCTGAGGAGCTCGCGGAGCGTGAGGCAAAGGAGAGGAGCGAAGAGCGGGATCGGAGACAAAAGCTGCTAGAGGAGAGTAAGACGATCGTGCTCACCGAGGATCCTGCCTTACCAAAGGCTGTCAAAGTGAGTGTTATTGATACCATGGCTTTGTATTGCTAACGATAGTGTAGTCCAAGATCAGTAGCCTCACACCGTTTAGATCTAAACGCGTCCGAACATCGGGGTGGGTGCATCGACTTCGAGATCAAAACAAGATCATTTTTGTCGTTCTGCGCGACGGCACAGGGTATCTCCAGTGCGTACTATCCGGGAGAGTGGTATGTTGCCTACAGCCACATCCGTTGCGGGCGTGGCTGATGTATGGGAAAGGCACAAACATACGATGCATTAACCCTGACTCTTGAGTCTACTGTCGAGCTTGTTGGCACCCTTCAGTCTGTCCCGGAGGGTAAGACAGCACCAGGTGGACACGAACTGATTGTCGACTATTGGAAAGTGCTCGGTGCGTCTCCTGGTGGGGAAGATGCGTTCACCAACCGACTAAACGAGGTACGCTAATCTCGCTCTCTAACTCAAGCACTCTGTCTTGACTTGATTTAATTTCAGAAATCGGATCCTTCTATCCAGGCTGATCTACGACATCTCGTTATTCGCGGGGAGACCGCTTCTGCTGTACTGAAATTGCGTTCAGCTCTGTTGAGTTCTTTCCGGACATCCCTGACCTCGCGTGATCTATTGGAGGTTACGCCCCCATGCATGGTACAGACACAAGTCGAAGGTGGGGCGACGCTGTTCAAATTTGATTATTATGGGCAGCCTGCATTCCTTACGCAGAGCTCGCAACTCTATCTTGAGACGTGCCTCCCGTCGTTGGGAGATGTGTTCTGCGTGCAAGAGAGTTTCCGAGCGGAGAACAGGTGCGCATATAGTCTACGTATTTGCGCATGAACTGAAAATTGAGCGACGGCTAGCCACACGCGCCGGCATCTGAGCGAGTATACTCATCTTGAAGCGGAACTGGCATTCATCACCTTTGACGATCTCATGGACCACATTGAGGGTATGGTAGGTCTTCGGTATTTGCTATCATTCAAACACATGCTGGATTCTCCGTAGATATGTGACACTGTGGATCGGCTACTTGAGTCTCCGGACAGTGCAGCACTCATCAAGCAGCTCAACCCCAACTTCACCGCGCCTGCACGGCCATTTTTGCGTATGGCGTATGCCGACGCTATCAAGTGGCTCAACGAACACGGTATCCAGCACGAGGCAGAAGACGCAGACGGGAACGTGATCAAGGACGAGAGCGGGAGCCCGAAGATGGTAGACCATGCTGTCGGCGACGACATCGCGGAAGCGGCAGAGCGCAAGATGACAGACATTCTGGGCGTGCCGATGTTCCTATACGGTTTCCCGGCAGAGCTGAAAGCGTTCTACATGAAGAAGATGAAGGGCACAGGAGAGGGAGGCCCGGTGTTCACGGAGAGCTGCGACCTCCTGATGCCAGGTGTCGGTGAGATTGTCGGTGAGCATATACGCACAGGTCTTCGCCCTGGGTTGCGCTGAGAGTCATGTCGACAGGCGGTTCCATGAGGATAGCAGATATGGAAGAACTGCTCGCTGCATATAAGCGCGAGGGTATTGACACTGCGCCGTACTATTGGTTCACGGACCAGCGAAAGTATGGGACATGCGAGCATGGCGGATATGGCCTTGGTGTTGAGGTGGGTCACTGAATCTCGCTCCTCTGCCGCGAGATGAATCGTTGAATATCACCCCCAGCGGTTCCTAGCGTGGCTAGCCAACCGTTACACGGTGCGAGAGTGTTCTCTTTACCCTAGGTGGGTTCCTTGGTACTTCGCGCGTCTTGATGATGACGATTTAGTATTGATACAGATGGCCTGGCCGAGCGACGCCGTGATTTCAAAGCATGGGTGGGTAGGCTGTATCCTTGTACGATGTTTGTGTTGGACGTGCACGAATATAATTCTGCCAATGTATATCAGCTTCGTCGCCCGAAGTACGTCGCCGATCCTTTATCTTCGCTCGGACAAAGATTATCACCTGGCGTTGGTAATTGGTTTCTCATGATTGCATGGCTCATAATGCGCTGCATATGTACTATGTGGCACGTATGAAATGCACAAGGTCGCCATGTCCACGTTGTCTCTACTTCTCCGATCTTTTCTTTCCGACCATTTTTTTCTTCGACATTTTGAGCACTTGATGGTACTGCTCAATGCCAGCGAGCTCGCGACCCCGAGGGGTCCCTTCACAACTGTCCACATGCACGACACCAGCAGTGCACGATTTATCAATACTCATCAATACTTAGTATGCTTGCGCTCGTTTTAGCCGTTATTGTGATATCTTCGGAGGCTATCAGGTTAAACTTATTGCATGTGGTAAATACAATGTAATTGTCAACTTGAACTTGTCGCATACAATCGCAATAACTGCACATGTGTTACAAGTCCAAACCTGTCGAACCCGTGTCACTGGTACAAACCCCGCATGAGATCCACTTGGTCTGACAGTCACTCGGGAGGAGTACATACCTAAAGACGACAAGAGCAACATGGTAGATGCATTTTTACTTGCTCTTGGGGGGCTCAGCACAACCGCATGCGGGCCAGTTGCAGGAGCCGCCGTTAGCCTCGGTCTTAGCGCACTTCGCGGTGTCCTGCCATGAATATGTATGAGTGAGACCATTGTACATATCCCGGTGTGTGTACTCACAGACATTGTTATTTGAGTAGTTTGGAGTGTGGTGGGTAACTGAAGATTGGCCCATGGACAGGTCGTTCTCTTATATCCCCAGATGTACAGGGAGAGCCCACCAAGGACACGCAAAGATATAACGCATACGGTTCTATTGGTCGGACGTACCACGAATCACGATACACGGAATGAAGTACGACACCTTCGATGCGGATCTGACAGACAGCTCTTCATCAATTGGTCGCTTGAGCCGGACAAAGTGAATATTCATTGTTCCCTTGTTCCTTATCAAGTAGACCCCGCATACTTCCTGACAAGATTGCTATCCACCGTATCCTGCAGAGGAACACATCCAATACCTAAAGTCCTCCACCCTCTGTTAGGTATATACGTCCGTGATCAAGCTAAATATCAGTGGCTTGGAAACAGCCAGCTTGCCTCGCCGCTCATTTTGACTGTAGGTGCTCGCATAGAAGCCGAGTTCATCTGGCGATGGCGCCTGTATCTGCGATGGATGTTGGTTTCAGAGCGCGAGAAATTATAAAGTGCGGGCCTCGGTCGTATGCGCCGTTCTTGGAGACAGATAATCAAGTTCGGAAAGCACTGATCAATGAATCATAGAGAACCAGATAGAGATCAGTTCGTCCGAATAGCGCCGCCAATTAGCAAGAAGAGATCTGTAAGTCCTACGTCAAACGAAATGCACTTGCATCTCCGTACGTTTTGATTTGCCGCAAGCTCGACCAATAGAGCCGCATGTTTTACGTCCAAATTATGGAGCTTCCTACCTATCTGGTATATAAGGAGGACCTTGCGGTCTTCACTTCCTCACTCAATCCAAACTACCCAAACTACCCAAACTACAATGTCTGTGAGTACGCGCCTGGACAGAATCACTACAAGCCCTCATCACTCACGCATACTCGTGACAGGACACAGCAAAGTGTGCTAAGACCGAGGCTAACGGTGGCTCCTGCAACTGGCCCGCATGCGGCTGTGCTGAGCCCCCTAAGAGCAAATAGATGTTCAACCACGCAGCCCTATTAAAGCTCCAAGGTACGTGAGTTTACTTTATGGCTAGTCGTTGACGAGCCAGAGGAATCTGACAAAAATCCTATATCAGCAACACTCGAGGCGGAAGTCAAGCGGAGGTCTTGTTTGTGCCGGGAATGAACTCATATTAGGGCCGAACAAATGTCAACGGTTGTTGTATAGTTGCTCAAGTCTATGATTTGAATCTGATGTTGATCAATGATCCTGAGGGTTAAGATTATCGCCAGCACACTCCAGCTGCCTTAAGGCTCTCCAGAACATGAATCATGACAGACAGGAATCAACGACGTCCTGTCAAAAGCGCGCACTAACCAAGCGGTGTCATATGAATCATGAGCTCTGCTCCATCCACACTATCCGTATAATCGTGTCAGCGAGTTGAATCCGGTGAACGGTATCATCGGTATCATAATGCTAGGTAAGGTACTGTTGGAGGATCGCCAGACAAGGGTAGGCGATATGAAGTCGATCGACATGTCCGTACCTTCCTGTGTATGCTCCACGCATGCTAAGGGGCGTATTGAGCTTTACGCGGGATCACAATGCAGGGCCAGCATCCTGTCAAAGCCGCGTTATTAAAGTGTAGTAAACTGTTTGCAATTCTAGACCCTGTCTTCACTCTTGCTCAGTCATACCCTCACATCCACCACCTCCTCATGTCCTGGGTACGAAAATCGCGTCAATAAGATAGGGACGAAAAGTATTGCGTAGTCACCGCCAGACGTCTAGTAGGACACCGCGCAACAATCTTGTCTGCAATTGCCACCCAGCACACCTGCGCCATGTTACCACCGGTAGAATTTCCGTGCCAGGAAAGCTGCCAGCGTGGTCGGGACGATCGGATTAATCTTAGCTCAGGAAAGAGTACCACGAAGCAACGCGCAGATCTATCGAGGATATTCTCGTCCTCCATGACAATTGCAGAGTCCATGAGGTCGATAGTCGTGATATGGTGATTTTGCGGGAGTTCGTCGTGTTCTAAATCCAAGCTGATTTGCGAGATATCTATCGGGAGGGCGAGTTCTCGCAGCTGCGGACACGACTTGATCAGTCCTATGAGACCATGGAGCGTCACACGCGACCTTTTCTCCCATCCATGAACGGTCCCAATTTTCAAACTTTGCAAACCAGGCCAGCCATCTGCTATCCGAAGCATCATCAAGTCGCCTAGATCGTATTGACAGATGAAGGAGAGCTGTAGATGGGTGAGACTGGTGAGGGACAGAAGAGGGACTAGCTCGTCATCTCCAAATGCATCTTGCTTTAGGGGGAGCCTCACAGGGGCGGTTCGTATACCGACAACATGGAGCTTCCGCAGCGCTGAATAACGCTTGTGCATGCTTGATAAAAGCTTGCGGCGCATAGCCGATGACGACGTGCCCGTGGCTTCGAGACTGACGTCCTGTAGGACACTTGAATGAATTCGGTCGAGTAGGGCGGCACACGAAGAAACATCTGCACCACAATATACATGCAAATGGCCAAGGGAAATTACACGGAGAGAGGGAAAAAGAGGCTGATCCCGAGTTAAAAGTGGAGCCAAGTCGTCATTGGAATCTGCAACGAAATGGAATTCAACTAGTGAGGGCATGAGGGCAATGTGGATGAGATCGTTGGAAGAAAGCTTCATGTCAACGCGGACGATGCAAAGGTCACTGGATGAGTGAATGACATTCAGAACCAAATTAGGCGACACTAGCATCCCAATCATTTGACTGTAGAGGAAGAGGAATTTCAAACGCGGCTGAGTGTCCAGCACGAATTTCAGATCTTCGGGAGTAAATGTATTTCCTTGGTCTGCTCGTTGAGATACTGCGAGTGTGAGATTTAATGACTCAAGTTGTTGTCCAACAAAAAGAGGGGCAAGACCAGTGTCTCCTACACCAAGCCACGTGAGGTCCCGCAATTGAGAAAACAGCAACGGTTTCGGTCGTTCTGTAAAAAGATGATGATAGCCTCTGTTTAGGGATCGACCGAAAGAATCCTTCCGTTGATCTTGAATGCGACGCGAATCAAATTTGAACACTCTGATCTTGCCCCCATAGTAATCGAAGCGCTCCCAGTCTGCAATGGTGAGAGGTCGTGTAATATGCTGCAATGCGATTGTCAGTATCCCGGTCGTGCAAGAAAATGAAGGACATGTTCACGCGTACCACTGTAGTCGATTCTTTGCGCCACGCATCCGCGGGCAATGTCTGAAGCACCCGGTCTATCCCCAGACTAGAATGCCAAAGCCGGTTGAGGGCAGTATCAGTGAACGACCTGCAAGTGAGTGCAAGTGCCAGGACTGTGCCTGTATCGAAGTGGCGTGCCAATTGACTTTGCTGCACGGATATCCCCTCGGCAGCATCATATATGAGACGGCTTTCATACGCGTAATTGACAACGACAGCGAAGATATCATCGACTTCGAGGCAATGATGCATTAAGAGAGATGCCTTGTACGTACTCAGCATCAGCCAGAGTAACGAACCGAAGTACAATGCGTGACTGACTCACCGTCCTGCACTCAGGCTCACAGATTCTCGACACGCGTAAGTTCTTGAACAGCGATGGAAAACGTATCAATCATTGGCACATCAGTTCATTTATATACGTTATTGCTCCTCCGCAGTGCGTGCATGGCCGCTTTGAGCTAGTCATGGGGACAGCGGCAAACTGTCAACCGATGGTCTAGGTAGTCACTAAGAGACTTACCAGCACCTCTGCTCGGAAAGGAATTGGGAAGGAATCAGATATTTCTCATTCATGCCTCTTGACCTGCTCGCGTCCTATTACGTCCATCCCCTTCGAATGCATCAACGTAGACGGCGACCTTGCAGGCTTGAGACTACGTGGCCGAAAGCGTGAGATTAGTGGATCCTAATTCAAGCTGTCGGTTTCGCCTGAAAGGAGACTAATAAAGCCGGAGGGGATTCGGGTTGCGAAGGCACTTTGGGTCTGAAACTTACAGGAGCCAGTTGTAGTGGTACGAAAGCAGGACGCATGCACAAGCATGCACCGGGATACAAAGCTCTCGTTGCCGAATATAGCCACCTCATCCGCTTCCACTGATACAGATACTGTTACCATCATCATGTTTCTACCCCTTTATCGTTGGTATTTCGCCGATGCTGTTCACGTCTTCGAGAGACCTGTCTCCGCTAGCAGTCGCAACAACTCCCACTGTCATGAAAGCAGTGATCATCAATCTCCAGCTCTTGGTATGCAACTGGCGACTTCAATTGGGGAGAGAGTAGATATCATCTCAAACCCCACGTCCTCCGACGTCATTCGTTAAGGATAATTTTCATGGCGCAAACAATGTAAATTTGGATGTATTGTATACATTCTTAGCAAGCGCCGTCCCTCCATACTACCACTGCGCCCCTTCGAGCATGCGTCACTGGTACGAATCTTGCGTCAAATTATCTGCTTGGCCCAACGCTCGGGAAGGAAACATACCACAGGACGACAGCAACGAGATTGCGGATGCATTTTTACTTGCTCTTGGGGGGCTCGGCGCAGCCGCACGCGGGCCAGTTGCAGGAGCCACCGTTAGCCTCGGTCTTGGCGCACTTTGCGGTGTCCTGAATAGACGGTGAATTTCACCAAGGTTGGTAAAGTCAGATCGGTACTCACAGACATTGTACTTTGAGTGGGTTTGAGTGTAGTTGGGTAACTGAAGATTGGTGCCCAAACAGGTCCTCCTTTTATATCAGACGAAGATGGCAGACAAACCCAAAGAAATGGAAGCAGGAATAACGCATATGGCTCTATTGGCTGGGCCTGCTACGAATCGCAATACGCTGGAATGTAAGTAATGCCTCCGAGACAGACTTGACAAATGATCCTTTGGCAATTAGCTACACAGACTGAACGCAGCAAATATGCACGGCTCTCCTGCCATTAATAAGGCTCGGCCAGGTGTTCTCCATCTCACTTCTGCTCCAAGAAAACCTTCCGTGGCGTCGCACTTCCGTACACCGACATGGTAAGGCCTTCTAGTTTGTTTGTATATTGGTATCTTTAAATGCAGAGTCGTGCCGCTATCCTGAGTCATTGATGCATCGAAATTTGAAAAAGTGTCTAGACGCCAATGATTAAAGTACGGTTGCCCCGATTTTACGAAATTGAGCTTGGTGAACGAGTAACAAGAAAACCCGATGTCGACAAACTCGAGGACATAATTATGTATGATCGCTAAGAGACTAACGCGACTCTCTGCCGCGGCGCAGCGACCTGGTCACAATTTGAATCGTCTATTCGCCTCCAATTACCTGCACCTCGAATTCCTTCGTAGTGAACCCACGCCTTCAGTCCAGCTTCATTTCCTGGGCGTATACGGCGCAGGCCCACAAAAGGGATACGTCGCCGACCATCATATCTGCTCGCAACTTGTCGTCTGGGAGAGCGCAATGTACCTATCTCGCGCCGGATGGCCTCCCAGCACGCTTGTGCGGGATCGTTGACTAATGGACGTCTATCTGGAGGCAGCTGCCAGAGTGGTCGGGAGGGGACGATGCGTTCAAGCCTAGGCAGGAGCGCCGCAAGGGACCATGCAGCACTGTCGAGCGCATCTCCATCCTCCGTCGCGACAATCGCAGAGTCCAGGAGGTCGACCGTGGTTATGTGCTGATTCTGCGCAACCTCATCATGTTCTAGATCCAGACTGTTTCGCGAGATGTCCATAGCGAGCGTGAGTTCATGCAGCTCCGGACAAAACTGGATCAGTCCTGCGAGCCCGTCGAACGTCACACGCGATCTCTGTCTCCAGCCGAGGTAGGTGCCGATCTTCAAGCTTTTCAGCGCGGGCCAGCTAGCTGCCATCCGAATCAGCATCGTGTCGCTCATATCATGTAGACGGATATACGAAAGTCGCAAATGAGTGAGGGTGGCGAGTGATAGAAGGGGAGTTATGTCGTCGTCCTCGAGGACATCGTTGACATTTAAGGAATGCCGTTGGCCGGTCCATGATGATGCTTCAGTAAAGCAAAGTTTTTGAAGAGTCAGCCGACGTACATGCAGAGCAGATAAAAGGTTCTGGCGCATGGGAGATGACGATGCAGCCACGACATCGAGGCTGGCATCCTGTAGCACACCCGAATGAATTTTCTCTAGTACGGCAGTGCACGAAGGGATGAGAGCGCCACTGTGCTGATCAGAATTGCCCGGGGAAAGTTTGCGGAGAGAGGGGAAGATGGGTTGATCTCGAGCTGCTAAAAGCGGGGCCAAATCATCACCCGACTCCGCGACGAAGTGAAGTTCTCGCAAGGAGGACATGAGAGCCAAGTGGATCATATCATCTGGAGAAATTCGCATGTTGACGCGGAATGTGCTTACTTTATTAGATGAGTGGAAGGTGCTCCATGCCAGCAGAGGCACCACCGGAGCTTGATCTACATAACAGACTCGAAGTGTTCCAACTGCGGCAGAGGGCCAAATGCAATATCGAGATCTTTCGGAGAGGCATCACGGCATAAGGACCTTCGATCAGACGATACGAAGGTGACGTTTAATCTCTCGAGCTGCTGTCCGACAAAAAGGGGTGCAAATTGACGACGGTCGCTCATACCAAACCATGTGAGGATGCGTAGCTGGGGAAACAACAACGGTGTAGGTCGTCCTCCAGAAAGGTAATGATAGCCTTTATCCATAAATTGGTGAGGAGCATAATGAGGGATGCAAATATCTAGCACTCTAATCTTCGCTGCATAGTAATCAAAGCGCCCCCAATCCGTGTCGGTAAGCAGTCGCGTAATGTGCTGTCATTCACCGTCATTACCACCACTGTTCCCATAAGAGGACGAAAGATTGTGCGCACCGTCTCGCTGCCGTATTGGTCCTCTGTCCGCCAGACATCGGCGGGCAATGTCCGGAGGACTCGATCCATGCTTGACTGCGTATGCCACAAACGGCCCAGAGCTACGTCGCTGAACAACTTGCAAGTCAGTGCCAGAGCTACAAATGCAGCTCTATCTGACTGGCTCTTCTCGATTGACTCCGACAGCGGTAGCAAATTATGATGTTCAGTACAAGCGACAGGACACGGAGGGTGATTGTTGTGCACAAAATTGACGATTGAAATGAGAATTTCTTCGACTTTAAGACAGTGATGCATTTGGGATGGTGCCTTGTACGCACCATTCATGCATTAGTCATTGAGCGGAGTCCAAGTATGATGAAGAACTCACCTTCCTAGGCTCAGGTTCGCACATCTTCTTATTCCAAGTCAGGTTGAAGCGCGAAGACACGCTTGTCAATGATCAAGATGCTTGAACAGTTTATTTATGTGTGGGCCTGGTCGTTTATTCACAGCCACATTCAAGGCAAGTTATCAAAGCAGCTGCGAACAGTCAGGCGACATCTATCAGACATCTTAAAAGTACCTACCACAACTTGACATGGTCAGCATAGCAATTGAAGCCGGGCTTCGTGCTGTCTGATTTGCTTTGCTTTGCTTTTCCCATATGCACGTTGCTGCTACGGATGAGTACCACTCGAAGAGCTGAGACTGAACACACGGCGGGGCTGACTATCGATATTGTGAAGCTCTTGCGCATTGTTGTAGCAAGCTTTGAAGGAACATCTCAAACTTAGCGAAAACGATGTGCAGGAGGGATTCACTTGCTGGGTGATTACGGTTCATCAGCATATCATGGAAATGCTTCTTGGGTGCTCCTCTGGCGCAACGAGACAGCGCAGGTACATCTGAGGGGAGAAAGACGAGGCTAGATGAGAAGTTGAGCGACAGCGGTTGTGGTGAGCTGTGCGGTCTAATATCACATGGCGATGGTTCCCATGCAAGCCGTGCTAGACCAAGGTGATGTTGCTAGTGTGAACTCAGATGTGGGGGGACCAGTGGTAGACGTTTGAATTGAGTATCAAAGATAGAAACATTGGGGATCAGAAGAGGATTTTGGTCCGGACGTTTCAAACGATTACTTGGTGGCCATCACCTTGACTTGAAGTAGAACTTTGGCACAGTCAGTTGAACGGGACCCCGATGACTCTGACTACGTAGGTAGGGCCACGAGGCACCATGAGTGATTATCGTGCTCGCGAGTGTACGCTCCCGTCGGGATAAACATGTAGTCTCGATGGCTATGCTCAACGCATCTGTTAAACGCTGTGCGATGGAATAATGGAATTCAATGTAAGTTTAGGGTACCACTTTCATGTACTTACAATAAGGGATCTCGAGTTTCTTCTTGACTTCTGTAGGAGCGGTGTCACGAACGCGCCTGAAGTATTTCCGATAAGACATAATGAGTGACGCTTCTCGCTCCATAGCTAACGCTTCTTCATCAACATTGTGGTTGGTCTCGTCTGAGTCATCGTCTGAGTCCAAAGCACTTGGTAGTTCTGCGTCAAAGTCCACGCCGTGACCGACTTCTAAGGTATTTCCGTAGTGCGCTTGTGATTTCATAGCCTGTACAGACGATTCGAAGCATTTGAACAGCGCTCTTATAGGAGAGGAGGCAGAAAAGCTAGGCCTAGATTCAGTGGATGACAAGAACGTTATACTTAGACAAAGGATAGTTAGTGCACTTCGCAGTGTCCTAATTGGGAAAATCAACGTCGGCAGTAGATTCTACAAAAGGTACATAATGATAGAGCTGCACCGTGCTCGAAGTTTATTTTCGAGCGGTCGACGTCGTCTATATAGCCTGTACGTATCTTCGACACGTTTGGGTACGAGACCAGCCTGTACTGCCGTTACGGTGAACTATAGGGCAGTTGCAAGCCAGTCAAACAATTCGGGCTATCAGAGGTTGACAGAGGACTTACCCACATTCCCTCGAACCTCGGCATCGCATCGTCTGCGAAGCTGCGCACCTTTCGCCCGCGGCCATGACTATGATAGTGTGCACGTATGGACAGGACCTACCGGAACTATCTAGGAATGGCAGGTGGTAATCAAGGTTTTCAATTGCATCTGATAGACTACGAATGACTCTGTCACCATACGGACAACCGCCTTAGGCTATCCCTTTCGAATGCAAGTGTGTATAAATATAGTTCATAAACGCTGCTACATTGTTGATTGTCATCTCCAATTTCGCGTCTCTGCCAGTTCATGCCAGTGACCGACTTCAAACTGATGAGGCTCATAGATTTTTATCCTCTTGGTTTGTGTCCAGCAGTCGCTATTAGGGCGCATCAAAACGAAGTCCTCCCCCCTGGAATATATCACTTTGTATGCTGCTGGCCGATCGAATTGATCCAGTCTTCTTGAGGCGCGTTGTTCCCCAAACACAGTCCACACGCAAAAATGCAAAAAAAAAAAAATCAATTTTTGTACAGATTAATCCCAACGATTGTGGCACTTCAATGCAATTCGAAGATGTGTACGCCGTGAGCGAGTGCGCTGTATGGGCCTCGCGTCAAAACTATCTGGCTCGACAATGCCCCACGAGGAGACATACCTCAAGACGACAAAGCCACCATATTCACTTGCTCTTTGGAGGCTCAGCACAGCCGCATGCCGGCCAGTTGCAGGTGCCGCCGTTGGC